TGTGAAAACTTAAGGCTTTTTTTCCTTTTATTACATGCTAGTAAACTAAATATATTTTGGTTTTGGACACTTTGTCTGCACAATAAGACGATATATTTAGAGGATTTGTCAAGAAAATTCAAAGGTGAGAAGCTCCACTAATATCTTTTAATTTAATGCAATCTACTGAGAAAGTTTAATCATCATCCTTTGTGCTGATTTCATTAATCTTAGCGCTCTCCTGAGACATCAGAGTGTGAGTGTGAGTGTGTGTTTGTGTATTGAGTGACGTGTGACGCTGGCTGATATCTCATTACATTCACTGTTCCACTCATGATGGTTCAGTAAAAAGGAGCAGTGACACCTCTTTACACTGAAAGAAGCTTCAGTCTCTGCTCAGGTCAAAATGTTCAATACTTCCATACTTTCAATTCCACAGATTTTAAAACGATACCGTCTGCTACTTTAATGATTGATATGGTATCCAAAATGACAGACGCTTAAAAAGAAAATATGTATGTTGGCAACTTATTTGTGTAATTTGGACAGTGTGCAGGAGTTTCTCTGCCTCTTTGGTAATTAAAAAAAAGATTCCCCAACATTGGGTTCCTTGGAGTGTGTTTTCGTTGCCATGGTATCGACACTGTTTGATTTTTTTTTTTTATAACAGTTGTATCATAGTTTAAATTCCTAGTATCATGACAACCCTAGTCTGTGCTGTGCTGTGGGTCTAGATTATCAAACCTGCTCTGGCCTTGAAACGTGCAGCATGTGATGTTGTTTCTGTTAGTTGCTATTTCCTGGTGTGTGTGTGTGTGTGTGTGTGTGTGTGTGTGTGTGTGTGTGTGTGTGTGTGTGTGTGTGTGTGTGTGTGTGTGTGTGTGTGTGTGTGTGTGTGTGTGTGTGTGTGTGTGTGTGTGTGTGTGTGTGTGTGTGTGTGTGTGTGTGTGTGTGTGTGTGTGTGTGTGTGTGTGTGTGTGTGTCCGTCCAGGCCCTCAGGAAGGTCAGTGTCACTCTGTTTTCCCATCGTTAATCAACCCACCTGATCAAGGGGACTTGTTATCAGTGGACTAACATAGAAGCAGTAGCAGGGGGCAGAAAGAGATGGGGGGAAGGGGGGGGGGTGATGTTTGACTGTGAGGGGTTTCTTTGCTCTTTCTTTGTCACCACTTACTTTTAATACAATCCGGTCCCGTTTAAAGATTTTCTCCTTTCCAAGCCAAGGTTAGCGCCACAAAGCTCTGCGATAAGATAAGAGCTGTGAGGGGCTTGATATCGTTAGCCTGACTGCTCCCTCCCCTCCTCTTTACACACCCTCCACACAATCTCCCAGAGAGAGAGAGAGAGAGAGAGAGAGAGAGAGAGAGAGAGAGAGAGAGAGAGAGAGAGAGAGAGAGAGAGAGAGAGAGAGAGAGAGCAGCTTTGCTTTCTGCCCTCAGCTCTGACTGACAGGTTTACACAGCAGGCACAGGGGCAACCGTGTAAACGTAATTAGTTAGGCAGACTCGACCAAAAGCTGCTCGGTGTTTGTCTACGGCTGAAATAAAAACTGTGTCAGTGTTTCTACCTGCAGCAATAAATCCAACTCTCACAGGAATGAACAGAATGTTTTACAGTTAAAATAATTACTACACACTGTATTCTTTTATTTTTCCCCCGGGTTTTCCCCCCACACACATTTGTATGGCTTCATATCTAGACATCATTTGTATGAATTCTCTGTACGCTGATTTAATGTTCCTTAAATCAGCGTCTAAACATGCATGGAGGCCATTATCTTCCAGTGTCTGATGAATTCAGACTCACTCTCCTCTCCAGGCGTTCTTGTTGCTGACTTGAGCTTATCTGCGGTGCAGCGTCCTCATGAGCAGCATATTGAAGCGCTGAGCGATGCACGTAAACAAAGGGGATTTCCCGTTCGCTTGTTATCAGGGCATTCCTTTTTCGCCTTGTTTTGGCCGGCTAGCTTGGCATTGTTTAAAACGTCTCCAGGACAAACAGTGATTCAAGATAGCACAAAGAATAGTGGACCCACATCAGAAAGAACAAAATAATGAAGGGACACACGGGTTTGTAGTCGCTCTGTGATTGTCTTGGTTTAATTGGGATTATTTCTTGGAATAAAAGATGATATTGGATAAGTTTGTGAAAAGATGGCTCTGAAAATATGATGTGTATTCACTCAGAGTGATTGTGTTTTTTTATTTAAACGCCTGAGAGATTTGTTTTGCCCCTGAGGAGTTTTTGGCCCCTTGGAGCTCCAGGGTGTGTGTTGTGTTTGGGTGAGGGAGCTCCCTCCAAGCTGTCACCCTGCCTGACTCCACCTCCAAATATTCAGACCAGCCTCCTTCTTCCCTTCCCTTCTTGTTTTTTGTTTTTTTTTCTTCCGCCCTGGCCCTGCCTCCTCTTTCCTGCCCTGACACAATGAGGCAGGATCCTCCTGGTTGCTATGACTTCAGCCCAGTGTCTGCATGAAATGCTACCACTGGCTGTTCGGGCAGCAGGACAGGACAGAGACACGTCCCAGGTTCAAAGAGACGCTGCTGTCGGGCACGGCAGGACGCGACAGACTGACACCGCAAACCCGGACCCTGTCGGCTGGAACGGGACGTTTCAACGCCGCGTGAAGTTCAACGCGGGTCTCTTGATGCTGGAGTAACGCGGTGGTGTTAAAGTTGTTTCGCACTCAAGAGTTGTTTGGACTGATTCAGCATCTTGAACTGTACGGGACACGACGGCTTGGATGTGAACAAGGGAGGACAGAGAGAGAGAGAGAGAGAGAGAGAGAGAGAGAGAGAAAGAGGGGAGGAAAGAAGTGAGCGCAGCAGCTGGCTCCAGAATGAGCTGCGATCCATGAATCCAACTGAAGGATTAGGATGGTTTTTGTTACTTTTGACATGCCTCTGGCTTCAATGGTGAGCATGGTGGGAAACTGCTGGTAGCTTTCATCCCTGTGTCTGTTTTAATTACGACTTCCTGGCCTTGTAGATTAACCACTGTCTTGATTTGTAGTCCATTTTTGATTTGCCTTTGTACCAATATCAAGTTTGAAATGCTGAACTTCTAAGAAAAGCTGAGTGTTTCTTCAATTTTCTGTCTTTATAACCTTTAAAACACAGATCTTTGTGCTGACTGTTCTAACAAACTAACAAGGTTTCATTTCGCCCAGCCGTGTGTCACTTGTAAGCACAGGCGTTCCAAACTTTCCCTGTTTGTCCCACGGGGGCGTCTGGACGCTTCCTGACACCTGTGTCCTTGACCACTTGGCCCTAGAAAAAGCCCCTTCATTTTTGCTCCATGATGGTTTCAGTCGAGTGTCTCTTTTTTTTTGTTGTAAAGCCAAAGTGTTTATTTGCAGTGAAGTCACTCTCCTCCCTGGTAATCATTCAGGAAAAAAAAAAAGATAAAAAGCTGTTTGAAAACCTACAAGACCCCCCACTCAGATTTACTATCTTGTTATGCAACCCTGCGCAGACCCACTTGTGTGCCTTTTAGTCCAGATCAGTGTTTGCACAAAAAGGTCTGGGGGTGCTCTTCCTAAAATGGGAACCTGAGCAATGCAGAACAATTTGACCAAAGCTATTCATAACATTTACATTTCACTCTGTTATATACATGCCACAAGTAATGGAAGGTGTTTACATCTAAAGGCTTGGCTGTCTGGAGGGTTTGAGAAGAATTCTGTTACAGGAGAGACGTGGAGAATGAGTGGATTACTCCTGAACTGACTCAAACGAACTCTTCATGTGCTCATTTTTAGATACTTAACTGTTCAGATAAATCAGGAATCATTCTCATCACAATTTCCCAAAGCCTCTTCAAACCAACACAGAGCTTTAATTCACAGATGTACACGTCTATGTTCTCTTTAACTTTGTTCTAGTTTTGATCCCGGTGACGTCAGAGATCTCCTTTTAACAAGAGAGACCTGGCAGCAGCAGCAACACACAACCAAAATTTCACTTTAGGAGATGAGAAGAAAAACAGATCAGCTGAAACATTTACACTCAGACAGCCAACAGTCAGAAGAGTTCTCTCGACATTTTTAAAACAATGACAAAGAAATGCTGCAAATCTTTACATCTGAGAAGCTGGAAACTGCAAGGGTTTGACATTTTAGCTTCAAAATGACTAAAACAATGAAGAAATAAACTAATTATTTATAATTAATTAGGCTTTGCAGCTCTAATTAGATTACTATTCTTGTGGAAATTGCTAATTAAGTGTATTTTGTGTGTGTTGGGGAGGGGGGGGGTCAGAACCACTTCTTCATCCACATCTTCACCTTTGTGTCTGTGAAGCCAAACAGCCAGAGGCAAAGGTGTTTTGCAGGCATTGTGTGCGTGTGTGTTTGTTAGTGTGCGGGGGGTGATCAGCGGAGAATTTCATTGGAATGGTCGCTCAGTTTCAGCAGCAGCAGTGTCAGTGTCCTGGAATGTAAGTTCCTCATGTCAGTAGTTTAAGGGGGGGTCGGTGGCCTGAGTGACTCCCCAGCAGCAGCAGCAGCAGATTCCTCGCTCTAACGGCAAAAACAACTGCTTCCTCAGATACTGACCTGGCCCTCTGTTTGTTTGCTTTGCCGCTGCTCATAAAGTGAGTGTGGCCGCTCGCTGGTGCCCCCGCTGACAGGCTGATAATAGAAAAAAAAAGAGGGGAACAATGGGGCAGACTCGGGCCTTCTGTTCTTATGGAACAACCTCGCGCCCCGCTCCCTGTGATGTAATGATGCATTCAGAGCAAGGAAGTGGCCGTCCTTCCCGCTTCTGTTTGTGTCTGCTCATCAGGACGGCTGTAACGGGCCCCGCTGATGTCATCCCTCGCACAGAATTCCCCTCTGATTTCCTGTTTATCCTATTGTGTACATTTCTCTCTTTCCTTCATTGTCTCCTTCCATCCGTCTGACTGGAAACTTCTGGGCTTCCCCCCCTCAAGAGATTACCAAATAACTTAGCTAGTGTCACCTCTTTCATTTTCTTTTCTTAAGTGTGTAAAGTTGATCCTCTTTTTTTTCCCCTTTTCAGGGACAGGCGCGGCGGAGGAAGAACATGACTGAATTCCTCGGGGAACCGAATATTCCCACCCCCGATACTCTGGGACAGATCGGCGGCTCTCTGCCCGGCATCGGCGCGGGACCCGACAACTGGAAGAACCGCGCCGCCAGCCGCTTCAGTGGCTTCTTCGGCTCCAACACAGGACTCTTTGGCAAGGTAACAACCGATCAGGCAGAAGTGAACGAATGAGATTCAAGAGTGCTGCTTTTTTTCCTGTTGGGCGATAAGACAGCAGCTTATCAGTCAGGGGCGAGTGTGTTTTGCCCAAACATGCAACGTTAAAAAAACAAACAGAAACAAACAGAAACAGTAGCAGAGGAGCAGTGGGAGGAGGTCAGAAGGCCAGATCCCCCGAGTCCTGGTGAGGTCATTTCCCTTCAACGTCTCCTGACTTGTTGGCTCATGCACTTTCCTCCCAGCAGCTCAGGAAAGGAGGAGGTGGAGGAAAAGGACTCACTCAGCTCTGTCGAAGCTTGAAGGCTTTAAGGAATAGTATTAAATTATGGGAACACTAACTTCTACTTTATGCAGATGACAGCATTCATTGTTCTATGGTGTGCTAACTCAGCCTCGCAAAAGGAAGGAAGGAGCAGACTCCCGATATAAATTAACATAAATAAGAAATCCCCAAAGTGTCCAACGTTTTCTTTGTCTACTTTTTAAACAAAAAGAAATCCATTTCATTCTTTTGTAAAGTAAAATCACACACACACACACTCCCTTTGTTGTCCTTTTCTTCTGAGTTCACACTCTGCAACAGTAGCAGATGTCACACAGAGACAGTATCTGTCAGTCACCTGTCACCACCGGCCTCATCTCCATTCACCCCGAGTGTCTCGTTTAACCCCTCCAGAGCCAAAGTTCCTACACCAGGTCCAGGACCTCCTGCACCCTCCATAGTGTTTTTGCTGAACAACTGTCAGCCTCTGCTTTCACCCAACTCTGAAAGGAGTGCTGAACTTGAAATTTGTTGTACATTAACGTTAGGTGTCACGGTCCATAAACCACAGGTCCGTGCACCCCCCCCTCTCCTCCCCACTCTCCATGCTGCAGCTTTTGCCCCCACTCCCCCCTCTTCTATTGTTAAAGTGGTCTCAATGCACAGAGCTCATTTTCATAACTACATCAGGCCCTGCAGGCTGAACAAAGGCTTGAATAGGAGCTGCTGTTGGATTTAAGAATTAAGGCGCCAGTTAGGACGGGATTTATATGCTAATGCATGGACTCATCTTTCACTTACAGTTTGAAGTGAACAATAACTCAAACACAAAAGGGCAGTTACTTTCAATTTTCGCTGTTAGTGCTCTTAACCTCATTTAAACTACTAAAGACTTGTTTTTAATTGAAATCGTTCTGTTTCTGTTTACAGGAGCTGGACCGTCTGGAGCAGCTCCAGAGCAAGCTGCACACCTACACGCAGTGTGGTTTTCCCAAGGTGCCGCGGCAGCTCTCCTTCCACCAGGACTCGTGGGAGGAGGAGAAGGTGGAGGAGACCAACCTGGTGATGGAGGACAGTTGGCAGAAGCTGCTGGACAACTCGGAGGTACAGAGCACACTGTTAACATTTTTTATAATGAACTCACAGTAGTGTGACTGATGATTTTTCCTGTAAGTCATTTTAGGAGATGTCTTAATCCCTGCCTAGAAATCGAACAATTACCAGCAGCTGCACCACACTAAATGTATGTGAATATCTTCACAACATTAAGAAAGCAAAAAAACCCTAACCTTGTCACTTCTCTGACCTTTAAGCTTTTACTTGAAGTGTCACTCAGTCTTCTGCCTCGGGGCATGTCCACAGTTTTAAACACTCAGTTTAGTTACGTGTACACAGAATATAAACATGCCGGCATCCTGCTTCCTGGTTTGATTATTTATCTTTGTCACACCGGCCCCGATGCTCCTTGTTCCCAGAATCATGCAGCTTCAAATGTGAAGCTGCATGTCAGATACTCTGCATACCAACGTGAACGATAAGAGCCATCGCACGCTGTTAATGTTTATTGAATTTATCACACAGCAGAGCCGTAGCACTGCTCAGCTGCTGTACATCATGCTGCATGTTCTCCTCTGATGACAACTTACATAAGACACATTAATGACTCCCGCTGCTGCTAAACTCCACGTGTCACATAATCAGGTTAGAAATGTCAGTTAGCTTCCTTCATTACATAAAGTCAGTTCAATTCAAATCTCCATTTGATTCAGATCACTTCATCTCATGGTACTCAATAAGTGTCTGCACAAATACTACACTTAAGAAGTAACAGGACGCAGAAACAAATACAAATACATCATGCTAAAGTGCATAATTTCTAATGACAAGTTTTTAAGTGCCAAAAAAGGCCTCACTGCATTTTTACCACTTTGATTTTTCAGACTTTTCAACAACAAACTGAAGCGTGTAATGGCACAAGATGTGATCTCATACCAATATAGATGGGCTGAATGGAGATCTAACTATTTAAATTGTATACAGGCATGAACATAACATAAACAAATACATACAGTGACTAATGTATGCATGACATCATGTCAGTTAAAATAGGATTTATCTGGTGAGGACTCTTTTTAAGCAGAGGGAAGATTACTTTTTTTTTTATGTAATATTTATATTTTGTTAAATTTCTCCTCCAAATCTCAACATAAAGGACAGAAGAGAATAAATCCATACATTCATTATTCTATAAAGTCCATGAAGTGCATCAGTAACAGAAGACTCTTTCATCACCAACCCATACCTCTCTCTTTACCCGCTTGTTCAAACGTTTCAACTTTCTCTGCATTTGAAATGTTCATCAAACATATGGCAGGTATCATCACCAGGAGCTCTCAGCCTCTTTTCAAGCCCTTCTTTCCTTTTCTCATGCTCAACATTCAGTCAACTCTTTTGAATATGAGCTTTTGTGAAACTCATGTGCTGTTTATTTGTCTTCTGCCTGTTTCAAACACTTCTCACACTGAGCAGTATAAGATGGTCAAAAGATAAAAGTCGTGACAGCTGTGATCAGGAAGAAGAATGGTTGTATACGCGTGTGATTTAATCATATGATGTGAATGTGTTTGTCTGCAGACTGTACTGACAAGGCGACAGTTCCACCAGCAGGAGGCGATATGGGAGCTGCTGCACACAGAGGCCACATACATAAAGAAACTGAGAGTCATCACTGATGTAAGTGCTGTATCTGCTGACACATAAAGATGCTGATACGTGTTGTGTAAGATGAACTCACGTCCTCTGGACTGAGATATGAAGAGACACAATGAACAATGAAAACTCTTATCTCAAACTTGTTTTCCGTCTCTCTTCGCAGCTGTTCCTGAGTGGGCTGCTGAACCTGCAGGAGAGCGGCCTGCTGACGGAGGTGGAGCCCTCCAAGATGTTCAGCAACATCCAGGAGATCATCTGCCTCCACACGTCCCTGTGGAACCAGGTCATGCTGCCGGTCCTGGAGAAGGCGAGGCGGGCCCGGGCTCTGCTCGACCCCACAGACCTGCACCACGGCTTCAAGACGGTCAGTTGAAAAATATATTCCACCTCCGAAGGCTCAGTGCTATCGAGAAACCATGACTTCCTTACAGTCATTGTCTTCATAAGCCAGTGCCAGATGAGTGGTTTTAATAACTGAGTTGTTCCAGTATGGATTATAAACTGAACCCAAATGAGATCCATCAACAAAACACAGAACTATCTCTTCATAGATGCAGGTTTTTAAAACAGTAGCTTTAATTTCCGCAGTGAGTTCAGGATCAATCAGAAATGTTCACTGCTGTAAGACACCCCCCCCCCCCCAAAGTTCCTTTTACTTAAGACCTAAGACTTAAGGCCCTCCAAAGGTTCCTGGTCTCTTGGTGTAAACTTCCTGTGATGGAAACGGGATGTAACAGTGTTGTGTTGATGTTAGTCGTTTGTCTGATGCACGTCTGTGTTTGTGTTTGCGTGTTCAGTTCGGCTCCAGGTTCCAGCCGTACATCCGTTACTGTATGGAGGAGGAGGGCTGCATGGAGTACATGCGAACACTTCTCAGGGACAACGAGCTCTTCAGGACCTACGTCACGGTCAGTTCTCTCGCTTTGACACTAAGTACTCCAAACTCACTCCTTTTGTTTGTTTTCTGGCTCATTAGATGTTTAATTTCCCGTCTTTGTGTTGCTTCATTCAGTGGGCGGAGACTGATAAGAAGTGTAACCGTCTGAAGCTGGCCGACATGCTGGCAAAGCCTCACCAGAGACTCACCAAATATCCACTCCTGCTGAAGAGCATACTCAAGAAGACGGACGAGCCGTCCGCACGAGACATCGTCAACAGCATGGTGAGGACGGAGAACATGCGTTTACTCGCCGCCTTTAACTTCTTAAAAACCTTCAGAATGTGAGAGTATTTCTGTTCTGCTTCTCCCTAAGGTGGCTGCAGTCGAGGGCTTCATCAACAGCGTGGACTCTCAGATGCGACAGCGTCAGGAGCGACAGAAGCTGGCCACCATCTCTGCCCGCATTGACTCCTACGAGGCTGTAGAGGGCAGCAGTGAGGAGGTGGAGAAGGTGAGGAATGATTTATGAAGCTCCGGTGATTTCTTCAACTTCAAGTGGGGATCCAGCTTCACGCTTTCATCTTTTTTTGTTTCCAGATCCTTAAGGAGTACAACCGCTTCGACCTGATGGCTCCCATGAGAGGAACGTCACCGGAGGAGACCCGACAGCTGCATCTGGAGGGAGCGCTGAGGATGAAAGAGGGCAAAGACAGTCGGGTAAGTCTGACTCACTCTTTTTTTTTTTTGTCTTTAGACCCCCAAACATCTGGTTTCTCTCATCGGCTTTTGCAAGTGGCCTCACGTTTCACATAAAACAGTTGGCGATCAAAGTGTTTTCTGTCAGACCTGAGATGATTTGATGTCTTCTACAGATGGACGTCCACTGTGTCCTCTTCACTGACCTGCTGCTGATAACGAAGCCTGTGAAAAAAGTGGAGAAAATCAAGATCATCCGGCAGCCTCTCCTCATTCACAACGTCGTCTGTAAGGAGCTCAAAGACCCCGGTGAGTGATGACAGGAAGACTGGGAGTCAGCTGTTGTTTTCAAATTATACTAACATGTGTATATAAAAAATACTAAAGCTGTAAGTTTCCACTTTTGAGAATCTTTATCAAACCAAATATTCAGGATTTAAATTGATGAATTGATTCCCGGCTTGTACATTTGATGGATTTATAATTTCAGTGTGAATAAAAAGCTGTAAAAACTCCCTGAGGTTTAAAAAGATTCTAAGACCAGTGGTGGTGATAATAATCATTCATGTTGTTTTTTCTCTGTAGGCTCGTTCATCCTCATCTACCTCAACGAGTTCAAGAGTGCCGTGGCTGCCTACACTTTCCAAGCCAACAGCGCCACCCAGGGGCGAAGCTGGATCGATGCAATCTGCAACGTCCAGGTGGGAGAGCCACTTCATGTCTCTGCAATAAATGTTGTCTGAGAAAAAGAGATGAAGAGACAGCTTTCTTAATGTTGATTTTATTTTATTTTTTTCCGCCGTGCTGCAGAATCAGCTCCAGAGGCTCCGCACTGAGGAGATCCTCCGACAGAAGAACAGACTGAAGAGATGTTCTGACCGACTGGAGGAAGAGGACGAGGAGGGAGAAGAGAGCAGCAACTCCACTGCCAGTTCCCCATGTCTGACGCACAAAGTGCAGCCCAACTCAAGGTACTTCGAAAAACGGCTAATTACTTTGTTGTCTGGGTCAAATAAGAAAGAATTTGACATTTAGCTCTCATGAAAGCGTATGTGGACGTATTGGCTCAACGTTTTGGGAAAGCCTCCTGACTAACTCGCTACAGGATATCAAAAGATCTTTACTGTATCATATGAAAAATACATTTTCAGAGGGCTTTGACTTCCATTCAATATAAAGAGAAGAGTGGTATTGATCTTCTCCTGTGTGTTGTTAAGAACAATACCTGTCAGGAGTAAAAACTGATTCTTGCAATCGTAAAACACATTTTACGATTCACATCAGAAAAGAGCAACTTCAACCTTTTCTCACTAATTTGAATTGAATGCCGCTAACGATCTGTTCTCAATGCAAGTGAAAAGATTTAATCAACACAGTCTTAGAGAGTCAGCGTAGCCTCAGGATTACAGATTTGTTGGTTCTTGTACTAAACACCTTCTGGTGAGCTTCAAGTTTGTTGTTCTTGTTACCTGCCAATTAACCCTCATGCATCACTAAGGACATTTTTATCCATTTGGTCAAATTTTACCACCATCAAATATTGAATAATTATCAGGTCTGTAACCCTTTAAATGCCAGAATCATGTAATCAAACTGGCATTTAAAGGGTTAAATTCCTGATAATTACTCAATATTTGATATTTTTGAGCAGGGCTGGAGTTGTTTAAGAGATTTATGCAAAAAAAAAAAAAAAAAAGTAGAAAAAAACTATTAATCTGTTCTATTTTTATAGCATTTTTTTGTAAGTGGACATTTGTGTCCTTAGTGACTTAAGAGGGTTTTAAATTAAACTGATGCCTGACGGTTAACCTACCATCTCCTTTCAGTCAATCGGACGGCTCCACAGAGACTCTGTCAGTGATGGACATCGATGAACCAGGAGGTCTTCAGCAACCTCCCGCCGCCAACATGAACCTGCAGGGAGCCGATAAAACGGACTCTGATGAATCTTCTCCCCTTTCTGAAAGCTCTGAGGTCCAACAGTCTCACAGAGTCCACTCCAACGTTTACTCGGAGACGGGGCCGGACGGCGAGGAGCTGGACCCCCAGTGTCGCTCCCTCTCCATGGACAGCGCCTACGGGACCCTCTCCCCCGAGTCCCTCCTGAGAGAACTCCAGCCTCAGCCGGGTCAGAGCGAAGGAGAGGAGACGGAGGAGGAGGAAGACGGAGGATTAGAGGAGGCTGATGAGGAGAAGGAGGATGAGGAGGAGGAGGATGCGGCCTCGCTGGGGTCTCAACTGTCTGTAATCCAGTCGTCTAAACCTCGGCGGCGGCCTCACGTTCAGCCCCGTCCTCACTGCCTCCAGAGGCTGTCCACTCTGACTTTATCCCGCTCCGAGGACAACCTGCTGCAGCGTCTCTACGGAAAGACCTTCACCCACAAATACTCACTCAGCGACGAGCCTCAGGACCAATCAGAACACAGGGACACAAACTCGTCACCTCTCGTACACAGTAAAAGCATGTTGGAGCTCGGGAAGAACTGCCTGGAGATTTTCTCCAGCGACCTCGACCAGTCAGACGACAGCCTGAGTGTTAGCATGCCCACTGACAAACTGTGTGCCACCCTGAGGAGGGCGGAGGCCAGACGGGGGCAAAGGGCAGCTGCAGGACCAACAGGGAGTAACACCAGCTCTGACGGGGAAACGGCTCCATCTGGTGGGCTCGATAGGAAAAAGGAGTCAACAGCCACCAGTGATTCAGGGGAAATGTCACCAAAGAAGAGGAAGTCACAGGCTCAGCAGCACAAGAAGCTAACGCTGGCTCAGCTGTACAGGATACGCACCACTCTGGTCCTCAACTCCACCCTCACTGCATCGTAAGTCCACACCGTTATTAAACTGGGTTTTGAATTTAATAATTTTGAAGGAAACATTCAAACACAAAATGATCAGTTCTTTTCTTTTATCACTTCTGTGAAGCAAACACAGACTCTAGTCAGGCTCAGAATTAACTCACAGCTAATGAATAGACTTCAGCTGTCTAATTTGAACAGAATCAACTTTAAAGCTCAACACTTCACATGCTGTTTGCTTCATAAAAGACTCCAAAAAGAAAAAGCAACTGGACAAGATAGAGTCCAGCTTGTAACGCCCTCAATCCACATGTTTGACAGCTGTTGTTGATTTTTTTTTTCTGATTAAAATAATGTTATTGTCAGAGCTGTACAGGTGCTGTGAGGGGGATTTTCTTACAGAGCAAGGCTAGCTATTCCCCCCTCATAGTTTAGATTCAATTACATTCAACTTTATTGTCATTGTGCAGAGTACAAGTACAGAGACAACGAAATGTATTTGGCGTTCTAACCAAAAAAAGTGCAAAAGAGCAACAAAGGTGCAGTACAAACATGAATAGGCATAAAGTGCAATATGGTAGTGAGGTAATACGGTGTCCTAATAGACTTTGTTTTGTGGACTCCTCTTTGAAAGCGTCAACATTTAGTAACTTAAAGTGATAATGTTTGGAGGACAGAGTTCACACTAGATTGATTTTCCTCTAAAAACATCATGGGATATTGAAGAAGGAGTGGAAATCGCAATTGAGACCATAAAGTCGTCAGGAAAATCTTTAATGAGGTTACAAAAAACTGGTATCCTCATTAAAGAGTATCCTTAGTATTTACTTTTCAAGTGTTCGTCCCAAAATGCTCCTGTTTCTTAAATTTATAGAAGTGTGCTTCTAGATAAAACATGATCCTTTCATCTAAGAAGTCTGTGCATTAATGTCGTTTTGTCTTTTTTCTCTCCCAGGGAGGTATAACCGCTCCAGCTGACGGTGGAAATAAAGGAACAACACTTGTTTTGCTTCGATGGACTGAAATAGTTGAGACACAAATGCACTCTCTCTCTTGCGGCCCTCTCCCTTCCTGTTGGTGTTTTGGACACTGATCGTACCACTTTTGCATTTGGACAACAACAATCCTATTTTGTGCTGTTGCATTGGTTTCTGATTTTTTTTTTGGATTGGAAGGGAGAGGCGGAGAGACACAGTAACTGCTTGCACTTTGCAACGGAAGTAGCATAAAAGGAGGAGGAGGAGGAGGAGGAGGAGGAGCTGGGACTTTCTAAATGTGGACCATCCCTGCACTCTGAACCGGAGAGGAGCTGAAATCTGCATCCCCCTCCGAAACCTCAAAAACGAGGGACGCTAAGACTTGAAAACGCTCTCTCTACACGAGGAAAAAACAGCACCCGGGACTTCCTCCTAATATTTGTACTGCTCCCGGTTTTGCTTCAAGAAAAGAAAAAAAAATTGCACAGTTATCTTTGTTAAGTAGAAGAATCACTAAAAAAAAGGAGTGAACTTACATTAACAGTCACGATGAATTTGAGTTAATTATTGGTTTGTGTACAGACGTGTGTGTGTTTGAATGTGAATGTGTGAATGAATGGGAAAAAAAAAGGTCCTTTAATTCCTGACTGAACCAAAACTGATTCACCATCTCCTGTGAGCATGCTAGCACACCCAAAGAATAAAGACCTACAGAGCAGAAAGAAGACAAAGTGCACCCAAAGACACAGACTGATGCCCCTTGATACGTGGAGCTACTATATCTGAATAATGACTGAAAACGGTTGCATTAAGGTTTTTTGTGGGGGGATTTTCCTGCACTATTCACACCCTGGCATGAGTGTATTTTCTCTCCCGAGGCCCTAAATGTTTCAAACCGCTCGCACAAAGTGTACATGTCACACCCCCCCAGTCAGAGTAAAAAAGAACAAGTTTTGGAGCACGTTTTGCATTTCTCGTCTTTCTTTGTGATGGTGACACTAACAAGAGGTTGAACAAAAAAAACAAACAGTTTGGGTTGATCGTTTGTACCGAATGAATCTGCAGAGCTGCTTTTTTCACCCAGGAGATCGTAACATTTCTCAGATCAGTGATTTCTCTCTTCCAAACATCGGCAAACCAAAATAGGTTAACTCTGTTTACTTCTTTAGTTTTTTTTGTTTAAGTGTAATATTTATTATGCCTGCTATGTTTTATATATATAAGATATTGTTTATATTATTTGCTTCCATCATCTGTACATTCTTTTTTGTTGTCGATGTAGTCTTAATTATTTTTGCCAGGCATGAATGTGCTATGAACCAAAATCATGACTTTAAAAGTGTCTTACAGAAATAAAAGAGGCTGAAATACATTACGGTCCCTCTTCTGATGGTTTCATCCGTTGTGCTGTGAGCGGAGTGTGAATGATATTAAAAAAAAAAAAAAACGACATGAACTGGTCGCATGTCTCTTGTCTCTCCTGCTCTTGTTTCTTTATTTTAAACAAAGATGGTGTAAAAAAGTCGACATCCAGAGTGCAATCAGAGTCCTGAAAGCTGTCACTAATGATGCATGTGATAACAAGTTAACTTAAGTTTATGCCCCCTCTTTGATGAACAAAATACTGTTTGAGGTATTTATTTATGAAGTTACACAGCAGTCATAAGTTCAGTGTCCATTCCAGGAATTCAGAGCAGATCAAACATCTGCTCCAGCTGTCTCTTTCTGCTTCTCTCAAAGTTTCAACGTGCTCACATCTCAACCCCAAAAACGTCTACATGTGCACATCCTGCAGGCCGAGCGAGCCTGCTGCTGCTGCCGGCCCGCTCGAACTTCATGGCCAAGGTGTATTTACAGGTGATTATATCAGCTAATCGGTGGATTACAGCATGTTGAGTCCACACAAGCCCCGCTAAGCTGAAGGGGGGAAAGACAGCGGCGGTCCTGTGGGATTTTCTCTTTAATCTGGTCCCAGAGTGCTGCAGGGCCCCTCCTCTTCTCACATCTGGCCTGCGGGGATTTACTCATGTAATCCTCGATTTTAAAACAATTTTATTATGCCTTATCGCCGATACACTGGACTTTAATTATTAAAATGCAGCTTTCATTGAGCGGTGAAGTAATTACACATGCTTGATCTATTAGCTTTAAATATGGAAGTAACGAGGCTGCGGTGTGGTGAGCTGAGGGTGTATGATCGCTGCAGGACTCAGGCTGCACAGTATTCATGTTTAGTAATAGTTGATGTAATATAAGACAGGACAGGATGTAGTCTGTGAGGTGCATTCAACCATTTTCCAGATTGACGGTGAAATAAAATTCAAAATGTGGGGGAAAAAAATGTAATTACCTTTTTTATTCCAAGACTTCTTTTCACTGAATTCAGCATATCTCTGCAACCAGAAGAACATCATGAATGATCTGGTCATCAAAGTAAAGACGACTGAATAAGTTAATGTAAAGGTTTAAAGATTCAGAGTGAAAAATAGAGTTTGAATGGAACATAACTGAGAGATTTACTCAACAACTTTACAAAACTGCACACAGTAAAAGTAATTATCCGTCCTTCAAATGATGCAGTTGAAGCTCAAACCTTGGAGAAAACCAAAGAACAACATCTTAACTTAGTCTGTGCCGCAAGGGCGTGTCCAGATTTCGGCCAGATTTGTGGCATGGGCCCCCCCTTACAAGCTTATTGGCCACCCCAAAATCCTATACAATGATTGGCTATTTGCCTTGCCAGAATAGGAATTTATATTGTAATCCACAATTTAGGCTGTGCAGATGTTTGTTTGCAATTTTTTAAAACATTTTAAGTTGTGACTTTGGACGTACATATTTGTGTGAGTTCTTCAAGAATGAATGAATGAATTGCAATGTAGACAGATGGGATAAATAACTGCTCTTCATTCATGTGTGCACACAAACTTCAGGTCACCCCTGCACAAGTCACTGCCCCAGCTGGGTCACTCCTTTACAACAAGTCTGGACACGCCCCTGCTGTGCCAAAACAGAGTCTGTGCAAAGTAAGTCAGATTTAAGTAAAGGCATGTTCAGGAGGAATCTGCTCATTAGGACACATTAAGGGTCTTAATGCCATGTGTGTCTCACTGTTTATCTCATGAAAGGTAATTTCTTTATTTGCAAAATGTCTGCTCTAAACATGTGCAGAGTCTGAGGTTTCAAGTTTTTATGCAACTTTTTACAAGAATCCAAAAGTTCAGGCGAGCATGTAGGTACCATGTGTCAATTAGAGTCTGCTCCCCTTATATATAAATATATGAACAGATATTCTTTATAGTTGTGTTTTCTTTTTTAATTATTTTTGACTTAATTTGTGCTTTTATCTTCCTTATTAACCACGAAGCATCTTGTGACTGCTGTCAGTTTAAGGTGTAATCTCCTTGCTTACTTACATTTTAAAAATGCAACATTTTGAGACTTTAAACACTTCTTCTTCATCGTTAATATCATTTCTCAGTGCAGCTCTCTGCATGAGGTCTGCTGGAGTTGCACCCTGCCTGCAGCTGGGGGGGGCATTGGAGGGGTTAACACCACCTGCTGTGGCAGATGTCAAAAACCATGCTGTAAAAAATGTCCGATTATCACAAAGGGGCACTTTAGCAAATCCTGATTATAGGAGCACTTTCATTTATTAAACGCTGTCAATCCCCCTGTACTCTCTCTGAGCACGGATTAAAACCAGGTAGACACCATTGTCTGTCCAAACAATCCCTCTTTAAGCTCCGGCTGCTTCCTGCTGCCCTGAACAGGCCCGGCTGCCCGGCCGCCTGTAATCTCACTAGGGGCTTATAGGTCACTACAACCAGCACACATTCCCATTCATCAACATCATCCCTCTCTACGGGGCCGAGGTGATTGGATTTAGGACATGTTTTACAGGGGCAGAAAAAAAAACCACAACAGGGAACTAAAGCGTGTTTACAAGAGCGCTGCTGTGAAAAGGCTCGTGTGGTAGAGCGGCGTCCATATGGAGTGGATAACCCGGCGAACATCTGCCCTCCATCAGTACCACACACACACACACACACAGCCATTAAACTGCTGGTTTTGACCTTCACATGGTGCACAAGAACATCTGGCCCCTCTTTTGACCTCATGACCCCTGACAAAGCATCGACGCAGGCAAAGTAGCTGCAGAGAAATCTTTTCTAGATTAGCAAAAATGTCAGCACAGTTCACAGTTTCCACCAGATTAAAAAAAAAAGGCAGGTACATGTTGGAGGAAATGACTACTTTAGATTTGACCATAAACGCACTTTTTTTCAGATCTTACACTCAGGTAAGACTTTGAACTGAACAAGAAAAATCTTTTTTGTAAAACTGAGTTCTTCATCTAGAAGGACAAAACCAAAAGTGATGCTAAAACATTGTTTGGATCCTATTAGCACATGAAATGCAAACAGACCAGGGCCAATTCATCATGGTTTCTTTGATGGCCCATGCTAAACCCTCGTACTAAGATTCATGAAAAGTATGTATATATTATATGTAAGCCGTCAGTTCATAAAAACAACAACGTACTGTATCTTACTGCATCCTGTCTTATAGTACTGTCGCAAGTTGTACTGTATCATACAATACATAATCGTATCGTATTGTACAGTACAGTCTGGTATTGTAACTTATCTTACTGTATCTTATCTGTTGTCCTTTTGCCTTCACTTCATTTATCTCCCGGCTCTAATGATCAGGAACTTTTCTTCTTTAAGAACAAAGAGAAAATTGTCCAAGCAAAGAAAACACAAAAAAGTCCAAACTGTGTTTTTATTGTCTTTTCTAAATCTATAATAAATTAAATATTTGCATCTAAATAGTAAGTTGAATGAATTACAGTCCAACAATGTCTTCTATAGTTATGTATCAGCTGCACTGCATTTTCTGCAGGAAGACAATTAAAAATAATACTACTTTATGTTTCTCAGATACTTTTTTGCATTCATTTTTGTCCTTTACATTTTGCAGAATGTTAAAAAAATCCTTCCTACACATAACTGAACCCTTTGACAAAGTGAATCATGGTCGATGCGTTCACAGGCAGGCAGGCAGCAGAAAGGTGATAATGTATTACCAGCTGCTCTTTGGCATAAATTCATTCCACAAAGACGCGGCATATGCTGGTGGATCAAATGTCTTTATCCTGGTAGAACTTGTGTTGTTCTCTAAATTGAAAGAGCATAAGGTCCCACTTTTCACGCGACAATGCAAAGTCCTCACCTCAATAATTGTATCAGCGTGTAAGGAGCTTACTGTAATTACAATATTGTCTTCTCAGGGCCGCAGCCTCAAACATGAAACACACAAATCACCCATTTTTTAAATTAAATGGAAACTCGTCCGCAGAGAAGCAACACCAGGGCGGGACGGAGGGATTAACGTGTAAGTCTGGTACATTTAATATTTACAGAACAATCACACAATTAATCTGACAACGTGTTGTGTGTCTAATACCTGAACTGACTGGACCTCAACATTATCAGGGCTGTGCACAGAGGGGGGGAGGGGGGGGGGGTGTTTATAAGTGTCTGATCCAAATGTAACCCATCAGGCAGATTTTAAAATATGCACTTTAATCAAAACCAGCATGTTTTATTATCGAGCCTCTCTGAGTAAGTGTCTATAGATGTAATAGTAGAACGTGTTTATTTATAAAAACCCCACCTAAAAGTTTACAATTTAGCCAACGAGACATGACATGAAGTTTATCCAGCGGTTGTGTTTTACTTCTGAGAAATATAACAGATATGAATAAGGAAAGAGGAATTTATTTTTATGTTATCTCTTGTTATCTCAAGCCAAAGAGCAGCTGTATATACAAAATATGAAAAACACCTACAGTTGGTGGTTTAGGGAAGTTGGTGGTCCAGAAAGAAGCAATCTCAGTCAGGATTTCGACACTGCAAAACCTCAAATATTATCAAATGTTTTTGTCTAATTTAGTCATGTAAGCCACATGCATAATTTCAAGATCTTAAAATCTTTAAAATAAGGCCTGTGTTGCTCTTAATGAGTAAAGATAGTCGCCAATGCAGCATCTAAATTGACATGTTTTGACATAAGATTTATATCAGGAGTTGTCAGGTGAACGTGGCTTATATTAAGTACTCTTTGACTTTTTTGTTTTGCTAACTGGCGACAAAAATCAGGCTTTGTGTGCAACAATTGCATCCCAAAGTATAAGTTCAGAAGGCTCTCAGAAGGGAAAACATTCATCCACAGGGCCGACATAAACTGTAGAGACAGACAAGCAGCCGCACACACATTCTTCTGTTTTTCCTCAAGTTTAAAAACACCAGACCGGACTCACCTATCAAACATGTTTCACCCACATTAACCTGGACTCTGTTATGATTAACAACAACCATCATCAACCCTCCTAAAGAAACCACAAACACTCTGAGGTATCTGAGGGATCAGAACATTAACATGCACTTTAACCAAAAACACCTTCTAATAAATGTTAGCCTCATTGCGTGTGTTTATAGATCTGAATGAGGACAAAGAAACAACAACAACAACAAAAAAAGACACAAAACAACATGTGTAAAAATGTAAAAAATAAACCAAGTAATAATAACTAACTAGTCATATAAGGGAGAACATGCAACAAAAGGTACAATCGTGTTATATTTGATACCAATAAGTACAGGAAATGTACTGCAGTATGTAAAAATAAATATGCATGCAATAATGCATTTATAATAATAATAATAATCCATTAATATATAATGAATTATTCTAAAATAGATCATTTTGCATGATTAGCATTTGTACTTTAGATATTATATTATAAAGCTGAAACTTTTGTGATTATAATTTATTAGGAGAATGCATGACTTTTATGTTTTTATGTTACTGAGCTTCCCTGTAGTGTAAAGAGTTTTAGTACTCCCCAAACCATTCAACACATTTTGAGAAGAAAACTACAGGAGGCTGCAGATGAAAAGTAATCTTCTTTAGGAGGCCTTGTGCATTCCTTTAAGTCAGAGGTTTTGCACCGTGTGAACAATATCAGCGATGAAAAGCTGAAGCTTGAGACGGATTGAGACTCCATCGTTGTGCAGAGCTTTGCAGCCACAAGATGCTGAGGTGTCTTTAAAGGGTTAACAGGAGGAGGCGCAGCAGTGGTCAGCTCGGCTGCTCTGGGTGGAGTGAACTTTTAGAGACAATGTACTATAACAAATTAGCCAAGAGGACTACACTATGGCTGAGTGAAAAACACTCAGAGAACTGAAAACACCTCTTAAAAACACAAAGCAGGTCGACAGCTGAGATGAGTGATGTGAGTGAAGACGCGCTGCTGGATTATTTCTACTGCACCGGAGGCAACTCAGGCAGAGTGAAAAATGCAGAAATACTGAAGACATTTAAGCCTTTTATTGGCCACAGTGACTCGCAGTTGCGTGGTAAGTAAAGAGTCCTTATATCCTGGGGTTAACTTCAAATATAATCGCTTAAAAAAAAAGAGGAAAATGTGAAGTAAAAGCGCGGCATCAGTCGGTACAGCGGGATGAATATCCAATGACCTCGTGTTTGCCTGACACTTCTCTCATTTCTCTCGACTGTTTGTAAAATGATTCATGTTTTTCTAAGAGCTTAACATTCCCCAAGTCTGTTTAAAGAAAAGGGCTTTAATGTCCTCTCATTGTTCCCCTGTTTGTGGAGCAGACATCTGGTTTGCATTAAAAGCCCCCCTCTCTTCTACAGCGCTACACTTCCAGCAGCAGGAATTGTGTCATTTCCTCCTCCAGGCTTTTTTAGCTGTCTGGTAACTGAGCGGAGACCGTGAACGCAACACATCACTGAAGTCTGACACCATTCACTGTCACATGAAGAGTGATCTCATCCCACCTCCAGCAACACCAGGAATACCCTATAGAATAGAATAGAATAGAATAGAATAGAATAGAATAGAATAGAATAGAATAGAATTACTTTATTGATCCCAAACTGGGAAATTGTGGCGTTACAGCAGCAGGTTATCCAAACACACAATATGAGTAAAAAACACAATATTAACAAATTTAAACATAATATAATATTAAATACAAAGTAAATAAACACTTAAAATATCAAAACTAAGAATGTGAATATATACAACCAGGATTTAACTAAGCATTACTAGTCTTAAATAGGAAGATTAAATATGAAAGATTAAATATGGAAGATTAAATGTAAATGTGCAAGAACAGAGTCATCATTATAGTACAGCTTTAACACTACTAATATTGCCTTTTTTTTGTAATTAGCCTTTATTTTCTCAACTAATGGATTAGTTGTTTGCTTTGTAAAAAAAATGCTGAATTGTATCTCTGTGTTCTGATTTTTATAAACTGAGGAGTTTTGATAATGAACCTGGCGCCATTAAGAAACAGCTAGGCTAATGTTAGCGTTCAGAAATGTGTCCTCTCCTGTAAACGCTATAACCTACAGCAGTCATGTTAACTAGAAAGTGGTTCAACGCTAACTGCTGCTAGCTGTCTTCTAACATTAGCTGATGTACTGCATTCACACGGCGGCCAATTTTCCACATTCTTCACAGAAAATGTCGCAGCTAAGCTTAGCCGTCATCACGTCTTTTTTTAGGGTACAGTCAGTATAGTAGGCTACATACAGTCGGACCCCCTGCTGACTCAGCGTTATTGTCTGAAGACAGTACGGGGGGGTCACTTCATCCCCCCATTACGCCTCTGTGACTTTCAGATTGAAGGCGAAACGTCACACGGGCGTAAATATGGTGAAATTAATGAGACGACAACATTTTTGCTCGAACTTCAAATACTGAGTTTTCAATTTTTGTTTTCAGTTTCTCTTGTGTCGTTCCATTATTTTACCTGGGACAGCAAGGTGACGTAATAAAGACGCAATTTATATTCGCACAGTTAGCAAAATGGCTGCCACAGAGTTTCGGTATATTAGCTAAAGTAAGATTAAACCTAGCAGCATTTAGCGTTCAACTACTTCCTAGATCAAACTGCTGATATTTCAAGTTACACAACAAGTCTACACATTCCTAGTTTATGATGTCAGCTAGAAAAATAGTTAAATGCTTCATAATGTAACAAGTTCCTCAGTTAGTCTTTGGCTTTTAATTCTTAAACTAGATTCTGGAAACCAAGAAGCAGCCCAATGATATTTTAGATTCCTTAAACGTTAACTTGAAAAGACTTAGCAGGACACTCGGAAAAAATGACCGCTATGCCAATATCTTATTTTGTCAACAGTGGAAATAAAAACAGTTTACCAAAATAGAAAATATTCAAGAAGCTGCTCAGCTTATTTTTCAAACTGCTCAAACATAATAGGTGATTTATAAAACATACTTGGCATTAACTTCAAGTTGACAACCTCACAACACATTCGTCATCGTAGCTCTGCATCGTAGGAGAGCTGAGAGCAGTTTTGCTGTATTTCTTGTAATATGTTTCACTGTCTTGCTCTCTGCTGTTCCTCTCCACCCCCTGACTCTTCAGATCATTATGTAATCCTGCTCTGAATCATTGCTAACACACAAAAAAAAGAAATCCTCTCATATTTGGCCTCTGCAGACAAACGTTGGTGATTACAGGTTCTCCAATGTTATGCAGCTTTTCTCTACCTTTACATTAAAGCAAATGAAAGTCCTTCGGGATTTCACTTTGAAGTCTATGTGACAAATAGACATTATTTACTGTAATCTGATTTATTAAAGCTACATCACACAAGAGGGAGTGATGTTTTACTGAATATCAGCACTGCTGTGATTTGGTCGTATCCGCACAAGGCCGATAATCACGACATCCAGAACAACGTCTCGACCTTGAGTGTGAAGTCACTTTTATAAAACAGTTACACGAGCGGAAAATAGTGATAAAAGTGAAAATCAACAACAGATTATTATTGTACTCCACCAACTCAAATAGCTTCACAATTCAACTGAACCTAGACTGTTGCCTAGCAACCCAAACATTCTATTCTACTGCACTCTTTTTACTCTGTTGGTATCCATGGTTACCACAGGCAGCACATGTTCAATGTCTTCATGAACCTTCACGTGTGTTTAAGGATGCTCTTCACATTAGGCCCGATTGTTTTGACCGAACACGACTGCTCCCCGCCTCCCTCGCTGGTCTGTGTTCACATCAGTAACATCGTTCCTTGCTTGAGTACACTTGGCTATGCACACAGTCCGATACAGGAGGTGGCAGTAGGCGCGTAGTTGGTTTGCAAATCTGCCAAGGAGCAGAAATAAGAAGAAGCATCCAAAGTAAACTTGCGGGCTGAGTCCATCCTGCTAACTGTGGATGTTTTGTTATTTCTGAGACGCCAACAAGAACTCAGAGGATGAAATCACCATTTAGAATCACATCATAAAGCAGTCCACTTGACTATTTGAGCACGGTTGCATTCACATCTCCCGCGGACAGTACTCGAGTACTCATGCCCAAGACCACCTCTTCCACCAGACTCGGGGCACAGTACCCGAGTACGGTATGTTTACGGTACGTTTGTGTTCACACTGATCAAGTGAAACAGACTTTGGGGTCAAGCGTACTCTGACCCGGGCCCGGTTCCCTAATGTGAAAACACCCTTGCATTGGATCATGAAACCAGGGAAATTAGAGTCTCTTGTTTGATTCTGAGGTTTGAGATTGACAGATAAAAAAAATATACTGTCAGCTGTAAGTGCAAACAAGAACTCCTGGCTTAGGAGGAGTGATACGTATGTGAAAAGTCCCAGTGATGTCGTTCTCCTTATATGGTCACTCATGGAATGCCTCTTGTCCAATCAGATTGCTTGGTTGGAACTAACTGTTGTTCATTTATAGACACAGCAGCAGCTTAGCCGTTTCTAAAAAACACAAGTGTGATGCAACCATATTCAGAATCTTTCATCTGAGCAACATAGCATTGAGTTTTTATAAATCAGTATTTTGTACCTGTAGAACATATTTTTGATGTTTTTCTTCCAAAGTTGCCTTGTTAGGGGAGTACAGGATTTATTGCAGGTCTTTTTTTGTGTTTGGACTGCATAAAAAGACCATTCAGTTCAAAGATAAGGAATACATGTGTAGCTACAGTTGTGAAACATTTCCAGCCAGGAGACAAATAATGATCCTGTAATGACTCATCAGATCCATCGAGAAGTGCCTTTATTACATTTGGCACTGTCTCCAGTGCAAACAGATTTTAACCTCCCTGAGTGTGTATCCAAAGTGACCTTGCCTCGCAGCATGTTGGGTCCAGATGCGATGTCAGCAGTGCAGTTGTTGACAGAGGTTTGAAAAAAAAGCTGCCAGCTGACGTGGCTGTCCAATTAGAAGAAGTGCTTCCCACACATTTAAAGTCTGTCCGAGCATGTGGATGCAGATTTCACAAGTGGTAATTGTGATGATAGTATTTTAATCATAATTAAGTCCACATGCATGGCTGGATGTAGACCCTTTAATGCGTTTTCATCAGATGTGAAAACTGGGGCACAGTGGGGAGTAGTGTAGCTGTGTTTGGAGGGAAGCGGGGGAGAGGGGGGAGGAGGGGGGGGTCCTGAACATGTGTGTGCGACTGAGCGTTGCTTGTTTGTGCAGACCTCTGGCTAATAAATAACTCTCCTGCATACTGTGCAACTCACCGTGTTGTGCAAAGGAATTCTGTTGTTGGGGCAGATGTAAGTGGCTGCTTCCTTTTGGGTTTCCTGTTGTTGTGAGTGTGAGTCTTGTGAACTATCTCACTAGAGGGGGTTCCTTTCCGTCAACATCAGGAAAAGGGAAACACTTCGATTGTCCTGAGCCGCATGCCAATGCTCACCTAAACGCATGAATGGAATACCGAACGACGCCTGGAAAAAAAATTCTTGCGATTGGCTGTTTGATAACTCAGAGTTAATCACAGAGTCTGCACACGTCTGAACATGTGCTTATCATGTAAACAAAAGGGGAGACAGATAGGTTATCTGATGAGCCCCGTCTGCTCGTCAGCTGCGGTTTGTTTGGTTCCCACAGGAAAGAATTACTGAAGGTCTGTAGTGACTCAGGTTTTTGCCTTTTGGGGATTCTCTGTGATCTTTCTGGATCTTTGCTGCAGGGAAACCTCTTTCCCCTGTCCCCCCCCCCCCCCCCCCTTTATTGAACTCTGTTACAAACTCAGCTCGTTCTGTGTGATCTTGCTTGGTCAGCCAGAAGTGTAATGGATTAAAAACGGCTTTGCTAATCCTGCAAACTGAAGCTCATAAAACCACACGTCTCTTGTCACTTTTTACATTTTCACGAGTCTAAATCTGGAAATACTTTTACGGTGAAGCATTTTCATTGAAGCTATTTTAAGATGCTGCAGTCGCCTTTCTGTCTTCATGTGAATTTGTTTATTGGAACTCTATTTGCTGTATAGATTGCTGAATGTGAGGGTGCTGCAGGGGTGACATTTGTTTGTAGGCTAAATAGGAAGCTAACAAAAGTTCATGACTGTTAACACCTTTTGAAACGTAAGAGCTCAGAATTCAACACCGACTATATTTATTTCCAGCGTTTGTAGGACAAAGTGGAAGTAGAATTGGCTTTGCTTCCTTGATAAACTCGATCACTTCACTTGGATTTCTCTTTGGGATTTTGAAGCACTGGACAAAACTTGTTAGCTATAAAGCTAACAAAGGTTTAGGAAAGTTACCTGCTTAATAACATCTTCTCAAATGAACACCACCTGTATGATTTTTGAAGCTTTTTTAAAACCCCTGAAGAAAAAGCGAAAGTTAGACTATTAGAGAAAGTCTTCATGGTGAGGTAATTTACTTCAGTTTTATATTAAGCAGGCATCATGGTAATGTTCAGACACCAGCGAGGTTTCATCATTTGGCTACTCGTCAGAAACCAACAAACCAACAAACCAAGATCAAGACATCAAAAGTTTTAAAATTCAAAAGTTGGGTTTCCAAGTGTCCAATCGTCCCTCAGTGATGAATAAAGAACTTCTGGCCCTGATGAACTTTTGGAAAATATGTCTTCAATCTCAAACTTCTGCAAACTACCAACAGAATATCTTCAATCTCTTAGCAACACAGCAATCAGAAAACCAGCTGACTCTGTGATGAGGGAACCAGAAGCTAAAAAAAAAGAGATTTCTTATTTGTATGTTTTCAGGCTCATTCCTGCAGCACTCCCATTAGAAGCTATATTTAGTTTTTCACATCAGATATTTTTCTCCTGCAGCTAAATACAGAGAGGAATTCAAGCTCATCATTGACCGAATCGCTGTGGTGAAGCCGGAGAACGTAAGTGAACTTTGAAATATTTTTTCCCTTTTGTGGGAAGAAAACTGGACTTCAACTCTGTGTTCATATTTCTACTGTGAAGCATGAACAGGCTCATGTGGTGTGTGCGGTCTTCTGGTTAATATATTATGACGGGATGAGGAGTCGGGCCTGTGTTGACTTTTATATTTCTCTTAAGAAGGGTTCAGATTTGAGGTACTATCACCATGGGGGGCATCGGGTCAGGATGCAGGAATCCAACAAGACTTGATTTTATGTAACAGGTTAATTTCTTTTCAAGTTAGGTGAATCATACGGGTAACAGAAGACACACATGGGATTGAACATCCATGCATTGCTGAACTGCTGCGCAGGAAGTGTACTAAAGGCGGTGCAGTAGGAAAAGAGAGGAAGTGAAAGGAAACAAAATAGTGAACAAATAGTGATCTTTACTACAATTTCACTAAACTGTTTGTTCCTGAAGGTTTCCAACAAAGACTCTGAGACTGCACATTACTATTTCCTTTATAAACTGGAACTGGAACCAAAACTACGACTAGATTCTAAACTAAAGTTATGACGTGTACTTGATTCATTTTTAGAATCAAACTGATGCAACCAAAGAAATGAATTAAACGTTTAAAGTTATTATGTGACATAGAGAGACAACAGGAGCGCTTCTGGTATTCCTGGCATTTCAGGAAATATGCTTACTTGTTAAGTATGAGATTGACTCTTAAATCAGCCTGAAAGATGTCCTGTGGAGATTTTTTGTTAACGAACTAGATAAATAATTTGGAATAATGTTGGTTTAAAGGGACACAAACATGGTGCTTATGTTGCGTTTTACGTTATTCATTATTTCTTGGCCTGTTGCAATTAGAAAAAAAAAAACATCATGCATTTTACATTATTTAATTAAATTAGAATTTGGGAAAAATCTTGAGTAACCCGAGTTAAAGATCCAACATGGCGGCTGCGTGCATCAGTAGTAGTTTAAGCTGTACACTATAGTGTTTATTAGCAGTTTAGTCTTCTTTTTGTTCATTTAAATGTGTTGTGTCTGCCATTCCCTCCACTATCTCCAAGAAGAGGCTCACAGAGAAAGAAAGGCCATCAACGGATTGATGCAAGAGCACACAAGTTATCACAGTGTCACCCACATGACCGTCACTGTGGGCTCTTTCTCCTCACACAAGAAGCCTTTTGTGCTGACTCACTGTCTCTGCCTCAGGGTGAGAAGTATCTAGTGCTGAAGAAGAAATACAGACAGATGCTGCAAGACCGAGACGTCAAAACCTCCGGGACGAGAGGGGACGAACAGAGACATTCTCCCGCACGGTGGCGTTGGACTCGACAGACACGTCGACTTCTCCCGCTCGCCTTAAAGAAGAACAGGATGAGCCCATGACGTGCGGAGAGGCTCACGCTGCTGCGGAGGTAAAAAAATCTGCTCCCTGTTCTGTCCTAGTCTACTCGTGTGTGTGTGTGTGTGTGTGTGTGTGTGTGTGTGTGAGAGAGAAGTGATGATGACTCAGCAACAAACTCCCTGAGTGTGCCATCACTGCAGATCACCATGTTTACTCTTTATATGAATGAGGCGTTTATCTCTAAACAAGGCCGTCGTTGTCAGTGTGCTCTGCACGATGTGTCAGCATGTAATGTGGGCTGCACATGTAAACAGAGAAACACTCAGTGGAGCAGACAGAAGCTCTAAGCTAAGTTAGCTTGGATAAGAAATAAGAAGGTCAAAAGGGCTTTTATATAGAGGTCAGAGCTGTTTAATGCACAGAAGCACTTAACTGTTGTGAAAATAAACACTGTGTGCGGCTTTAATGCGCATAATCCTCTTGAAGTACTCCTACATATTGTTCCTGCTGTAAACTTTTAATCATAGATTTATAAAGATGAATGTGTTTTTGATGTGGCTGCTTTGATGGCGTCACTCGAGTGATTCAAACCGGCTCTGAAGCAAACATGAAGAGACCACACCCACATGGGGAAGAAGAAAAGAGCAGGCTAACTGTGTCTGTGTGTGTGTGTGTGTGTGTGTGTGTGTGTGTGGTGTGTTAGCCTCAGCCAGCGCTCGACACAGCACCTAAGAGCTATGCTCACTCTGAGATCACAGGAAGTTTGTGTTTATAACACGTTGTGTGTGTTCTCCTCCTGCAGCACACAGCTCCTCTGCAGCTTCCTGTCATCCAAATCCATGTAACGTCAGAGCAGAGCAACAGAGACGATGAGCTGGATAAAGATTCAGGATCAAAGGTGATGATTCGGCTGATTGAGAGGGAGCGCTTGAATATTACAATATTAACTACTTTTTTTTAACGTGCAGTTTGATGTTTCTCAGTGGAATCGCTGACTGGAAACAGTTAAGCTGATTAAAAAGTTATTCTAATGTGCAAAAAAATGTTCAACTCACGACTTCCAGTGGTGCCGCAGTTGACAGGGTCAAACCCAAATTTCAGTTTTTGCCTCGGTCAGAATAAAAACACTCTGATGTGGGTGTGAGGAGCGTTCTGTACAATAAGTTAAAAAAACATAAAACTCCTACGACTGATCAGCTGAAGCATGACGCATGAAATCAAATCATTACATTGATATTCTGTTATTGGCAGCTGCTTCAAACCCTCAGAAAACATTTAATAATCTCTCAAATAAGAATGCAGCACGAGCACAAACTGACAGGGATGTGAAGGTACATTAAAAACAAAATAGAATGTAAAATCAGTATCATCTACTACACCAGAAGGACTTGGGATCGCTGCTGCATTTTTGCAAACTATGATAACCCCCCCCCCCCGAAAACCTCATTCTGCTCATTATTATGTAGTTGTTCCTTTTTTTAAGGTTTATTTTGGGTGATTTGTTATGCCTTTATTTGGTGATAGTACAGTGGATAGAGTCAGAAATCATCAGAGAGAGAGAGAGAGAGAGAGGAGCGAGAGAGAGAGAGAGAGTGGGGAAGGAGCCATAGATTGGACTCGAACCCGGGCCGCCCGCTTGGAGGACTACAGCCTCTGTTCATGGTGGGAACGCACTAACATTTAGGCAACATGCGCCCTGATTCTAGCACCTTTTGAACTTAGATTTTAAGTTTTCTTGAAGAATATTCTCTGTTACTTGAAGATATTAAGACGAACACTTTTCTGCTCATGCTCAAGTAAAGGAAATTAGTCTGACACATCAGTTTTTTAATGTATTATTTGTGATTATATGCCGTATAGAAGCTCAGACTTAAAATCAAGAAAGTGATGTAGAGGTCAGTGCTTACACTCCAGCTGTTCCTCCTCTCCCCACCAGGTGGTGCTAAGTTAATTACCTGGATTTGTAACCCTGCAGTGTGAGGAGGTTTGAGTGGGAGGAGAACCTGATGGGGGAGCAGAAAGGGGATGGGGAGGGGGGGGGATCTGCATTTAAATGAAGCTGGCTGTTATGATGTAAAGCAGCAGCATGTTGGACCTCATTAGAAAGATAATAATCGCCCGTGCCCATTAAAGAGATTGAGTTATGCTGCTCTCCTTGATGCTCCAAACAATAGACACATGAAATATGCTGCAGTGTGTGAATAAAACACCGGCATCAGATTAAGAAGTGTTTGCTTAAGGTATTAGTCACACCATTGAACTGTGCATGGACGACGCAGTGAGGACAATCGTTTCCCATGACTGAAGACATGCAGTGACTCCACACCTGAGGTCGGAGGTTTGGATCCAAGTCTCTCAACCTTTAAATGGAAATATTATAACTCTTTTATATCATGCTCCAAAATGTGGGATGACTCTCAGACTAAAAAAAAAAAAAAAAAAAAAAGTCTTTTAATTTTAAAGAAGGAGGTGAACTTTTGTTTTGAACTCAGTAGAAAGATTCAACCTCTGGATTCAAACAACACAAGTCACATTCAGGACGGTACACATCAAACCCAGTTTCCAAACATGGTTTAAGGGGAACTGTTTTTAAAATTATTGTCACATTTTCTACATTTTTCCTTCAAAAAAAAAAAAAAGGGGGGAATTTAAGTTTATTTTAGGACTCAAGAACATTTAAGCACAATGAGCTTACCTGTAATGAAATGTGCTTTATAAATAAGCTTCTATTCTATTCTAAAAGAAGGGTTCATTAACTAAGGGTCCGGTGTCCATCTAGAGTTTTTTTCCCGGGCAGAAAACGCGCTGGCTGTGCGCTGAGAAGAAAAGCGCTGCTCACTCGTCCAGTCTCTATGACAACAGTCACTTTTTATTGAGTTTTGAGACATACAGATATATGTTCGACGGCTTCTCCAGTAAAATAAGAGTAGTTTTAAGTAAAAAACAAACAAACAAAGAAAAGGAGACAACTAGAACACAACACAAACTCAAACTAAGCTTGGCCGTTCAACGAGTTACAAAAAGAAATAAACACAGTATGTATTTGAGGTACATTAATCAGACGGGCTATAAAAGACAAAAGAAGGAAAGGAATATCATACTTTTTAAAAAAGATTATCAGCTCGAGCGCTCGGAGCAGCCGCACAAAAATGGCAGAGAGCTTATAAAAAAAAGGCGCTGGACACGGACCCTAACATTTGTTTTTACAGGTACTGATGGTTCTGTAGGTTCCTGCAGTAGAACAGGTCTTAATAGTTCTTATGGATGTTTTGCTTCAGTTCTCTGCTGAGGCCAAAACTACCTCAGAACAAGTAGTGTTGGGAATGTATGTTGGCTGTAGGGACAATTCATTGGTAAGCTTCACTTTGATTTAAACATTTTTTAGACTAAGCAGCTCCCAGTTTAGATTGAATGATTGCCAATTGCTAAACACTTGTTTAACGTAGTTACTAGAACTAGTGAATTAAACATTTATTAGTTTTGGACATCCCCTTGTGTAATATTTAGGCATCTTGTAAAAAATCAAAAACAGATCTGTACATCATTTACATCCTGATGAAAAGTGAAAATAGTCACTATAACTCAAATTCTAAAGTAAGAGTTCCTCGGTCTCTCTCTCTCTTTTCATGCCTAACAATGTTTTCTCTGCGTGTTATTATCGTCTTTTTCCAAAAAGTATGCAGAAGTGGAATGAGCTGGATAAATACGAGCCTGCACTTTTCCTGTTCCGCATGCTGACGTGTGACAGTTTGTGTGTAAGACATAAAAAGAGCCGAGTGTTTGGACATCACGTCTGTGTGATGTGAGAATGATCTGCAATCAAGTCCTCAAAAAAAAAAAAAAAAGACCATGTCTCCCCTCTCACATAAATCAGCCTCAGTGACACTTTTACACACACACTGCTGGAGTGAGTGTTCCTCCTGGTGATGAAAACACACACACACACACACATTGTTGGGGTGTTGTTTTTGGGTTAGTTGTTAATTGGATTGTTATTCATTACCCCTTATGTGTGAAAACGCCACCTCCGTCTCGCTGCCTCATTACCTCTCGATCAGTCTGACACCCTTTTGGTCACGTCTCGTCAGCTGGAAAACATCACAGCAGTGTGAGCGCTGAGTGTGTGTGTGTGTGTGTGATGCTGGAACATCACTGTGGGAGCATTATGACTGATTACAGTAAACTTGGAGGTATTGTGTCACCACTGAGTCGTCTGTTTTCTGTCTTTCAGTCCGAGTCCGAGCAAGACGAGGAGAGTACGGGCAGTATGGGCTCTGCTGCTGTTGCTGTAAGTCCTTTATCATCTTTTACCAAAGTTTTTCTATTCATTTATTATGTTTTTGTCTCGTGTTTTTGTTATTAAAAAGAGAAACGAAAATGTAATAGTAAAATATTGAAGGCGTTAAGTCTCCAGAGTTTGAGTTTCTTTCACAGATAGTTGACCAGGAGGGTTTGGTTTTTTGGAAATCCACATCCACTCTCTCTCTGTGGTGTCACATCTCTCAGCAACCTAATTCCCTTTAAACCATTAACAGAAGTAAAACAGTGTGCAGTGTGATCATGGGTGTCTCCCACATTGTGTCAGTTGGCCGTGACTCAGTCGTTTGTAGGAAATGGATTAGAGGTTTGTAGTTTCAGCATTATCAAAAGAGGCCACAACAGGATGTGGACAGTAGGGTGTGTGAGTGCGCGTGTGTGTGTGTGTGTGTGTGTGTGTGTGTGTGTGTGTGTGTGTGTGTGCAAGTCTGAGCTCCACCTCCTGTCTCTGTTGCAGCTGGATCCGATAGAGAAGGAGTGGATCTACTCTGCTGCCGGTGCTCGGGTCCCTGACCTCTCTCAGCTTCTCAGACAGGACCCCACGCTGGCAAATAAGAAGGTATAGCCCCTCCCCTCTGCTCTGCTGGGTACACAGGATCATTCCGTGCTCAGAATGTGTGTGAATGTGGTGATATCCCCAAAATAAAGTCTGAAGTAGCACAAAACTAGAGCAGCCGTTTAAAGAACCCTCTAATCAACTCAGTTCATCAAACAGTCGACAACATGAGCAACAAGGGACTACATTCAGTTCCACTAGGCCACAAAAGTCCAAACTCCAGGGAGATAGTGGGGATGTCATGATACTGGAATTTTAAACTGTGTTATGATACTAGCAATAATCAAATGATGTATATTAGAGGTGGGGAAAAAATATATATTCTCATCTCAGATTTTTTTTTTTTATTGGTATATCTTCTGAGATTTTAAATAGATTAATAACTTCCAAAAATTAATTTTTTTATATATATATATTTTTTTATATATATATATATTTTATGCATTTTTCACATAATAAACACAGAACAAGACAGCACAAACGTAGCCAAATTACTGAAGAAAAAAAAATAAAAAAAAATAATATATATATATTTAAAAAAAAAAAACAATAACATACATGTGTAGATTTATTTTTTATTTGTGGCTGATTAGTGCTAAGGCTAGGTCTTTCACTTAGTAGAATGACAAATGGAGCAGTAAGAAATTAAGCCAGTGTCACAGATAAGTGGGGTAGATCCTGAAGTATGTACTAATTCAAAAATAGACTTTGACTCATGAATCCAGAATCATTTTGAATCGAAAATAGATTCTCAATCGAATCGTGACACCAAGAATCAAAATCCAATCGTGAGACACCCAAAGATTCCCAGCCCTTTCGTCGCAGGGAAATTAAAAAGTTGAATCCTAGACAGCCAATTTTGTGTAGTTTCTTTTTTTCAATCATCAAAAATTGCAAGCAAATTCCTCCACTCTACCAAAATCCATACGTCAGCAACGTCTCAGGATGTTACCAACGTGTCTGCTCAGTTTCAACATCGCTCTCTCTTCTTCCTCGCGGCAGCCTCTGGTTAAAAATATGACTGAAGATCTGTCGTTTTTCTAAATATTTTCGGTACTTTTCAAAAGTATCGATCATTTACATAAAGGAGATTTTAACATTTAAAAATGTGAATAAAGTGAAATGTTTGCTAACTGTCCAGTGGTTCAGGAAATATTAGGTAGGAGTTTGCTGTGTTGGGCTCGGTCTGTTCATCAACTCTTATAACCTGTGCACAGCTCCATTCACATAATGACTGTTAGCCTGTAGTATCATGATGTTGATGAAGGGATGCAGAGTAGATGAAACGATCGAGAGAAACGAGGAATAAAGCTTTATCTGTTACCATCTGAACGTCAAACAACCCACTGTCAACGCTCAACAGGTCTCTGCTACCCTGTGGAGGGAGGAGACTCCTTCTCGTCCATCCAGACGTCAGAATCACGTCCAAAATTAAATGGAAAGAACAACAAGACACGCACGTGTGAAAATCCAATGTGCCCACTGTTGTTTTTTTCTTATTTGTCAGCGGGCTTAAAGGCTAAATCTTTACCCACACAAGAATACGTAAAACACACTTTGAAGTTCCTGGTTTAGTTCTGATGTGTAGCTTCTTTGTTTCCATTGTTGTGCACATTGTGACAGCGATATCGCTCATTTCTCAGACCTCGGCGATCCCCTTGGGTTGGTGCAAGAGTGTAGAAACTGAAATCAATAAAACAAAGAAATGCATTTTAAATAAACTGAAGTCTCTCTCTTTCATGCAAGTTAAAAAAAAAGTCATTAATCTACTTTTCTTCTGTTTTCTTTCCTTGTTTTCGGGCTCAAACCAGGACTTCACCTCTGTGAGTATTAGCAGGATGTCTTTAGCATGCTCTTCTTACTGTGCTGGATGATGAGTTTTATCTGACTTCAAGCCTCTTATTCTCTCATTTTGACCCACTGTGGCTCCCGACTGTGACCATGGACATCCTTCGTAGGGGGTAAGTTTCAATACTCACAACACCACCTGTTAGAGGAGTAGTTCATGTGCACTTTGTCTCTGGTTTTGTCTCTGGACCATCTTCTCTTCTGTGTTCGTGCAGTTCAAAGCGCGATCTTCTTCACTCCCAGACCTGCGTTCTGCTTGTGTAACTTTCACAAGCTCATTCTGCCGAGAGTTTCTCCCTTAATCGTATTCTGAGAACCCTGTGTTTAAAACATCCAGATCATGCATTTCAAAGGTCCACTATCAAAAGGATTATGAAAGATAGCTTTTTAGCTCCTGTGCCCCCCTGACAACCCAAATCCTTTTATTTGTCTCCCCGTGCGCTTAAGAGATTTGAGCTCATGTTTGTTGTCCCTCCCCTGTGTCACAGTTCTCACACTGTCCTGTGGCCGTGGCGGACCACCTTCTAAGAGTGGCCCTAAGCCTCCGCCATCCCCACCCGGACAAGATAGCACGGCCGCCATTGAAGTGCAGGGGCGATGGTGGGGGGAGATTAAGGAGAGTCTTAATGCCCCACAAAGACTTCACCCACTTAAAGATAATCTGAAAGTAATAGAGCAGGCTGGGATTAATTGTAGAACAATGCAGGTTGTGTCCCTGGGAAGGTGCTAAGTCCCCCTCGGGCCTCTTTGATGTTCCCCCTTTAGCTCTCAGAACCCTTCCCTCGTTCAGCGGAGGTGGATGCCTTCACAGAGCTGGCGTACACGAGATGCCGCAAAAAAAATCATGAGGCTCCCGATGATTTACGAGTCTACTGTGTAAATCCAGGTGCTGTGGTGTTTGATCTGCATTCATCATGTCCAGACGTGGCTGCAGAGAAGTCGTGTTAAGTTTACCAAGTACAAGGCTCTAAATCACATGTTTGACCAGGACTGAAGGATTACTCTTCATCCTGGGAGGACTTAAGTGTTTCCTGCTCTGACCAAATGTTTGTTGAGATCAGGTGGTTTTCAGAGGTATGTACTTCAAAAGATCGGTCGGGATAACCAGGTCTCACCTGATGAGCCTGATTTATACTTTTGAGTTCAATCTACAACTGAGGTATGGAGTAGACACGGTCTATACGCCTAAAATGAAACTCAGCCTTTGCTTCAACCCCGAGAATTAGCATTTGCAATAAACTTAAAGCCTTAGCCGTTACCTTAGCTGTAGCATTAGCCATTAGCCCAGCTGTAGCCATAGCTGTAACAACAGTCGAGCCCTAGCTTTTATCTTAGCCATAGCTTCAGTCGTAACCCAAGCCAGAGCCCTAGCCTCAATCTTAGTACTAACTTTAGCAACAACCCTCGCTGAATCTTTAGCCGTAACCTTAGCTCAGCAACCTGGGCCATAACCTTAGCTGTCATTTTAGCCACAGCGATAATCTCAGCCATGGCTTTAGTTGTAACCTAAGTCATAGCCTTATCATCTGCCTTGGCCATAACCTTAGTCATAGCCTTACTAAAAACCTCAGGAATATATCTAGCCTTAGCCAAAACGCTAGCTGTAGCTTTATCGTCAACCACAACCTTGGCGGTAATGTGGGTTGTAACCTTAGCTGTGATCTTAGCTTTAGCCTTAGCCATAAGCAAAGCCGAATATTCAGTTGTACACAATGTCATACAGTAACCCAAGCCTCAGATTATCGTTAGCCGTTGCTTCAGTCACAACTTTGGCTGCAGCTTTTGGCTGTAACCTTAGCTGTAGCCTAGCCATGAACACAGTCAAAGCGTTAGCTGTTCCAACAGTCGAGCGGTAACTGTCACCAAACAATTTCTCTATCAATAAATACAGCTAAAGCCCAAAGCTTTAGTCGTAACCTTGGCCTTAGAATTAGCTGTAAACCCGAGTGAATCCTAACCAGTAGCCTGATCTGTACTTACCCAGGATTGTAGCTACATATTGTGCTGACAGTGATTCTTCTTCTTTCATATCGTGGCAACCAAACTACAGTGTTGGCATCCACATGAAGCTAAAGCTGATGTCTATATGTGTATGGTTTAAAGATATTGCTGTAACATCAGTAAAAGTTTCATTTATTAGCTCCAATTCTAACAAGATTCAGTGGAACTGCAGAGCAACACGATTCAAAGCTCAGGTAGAAATCCGTCTTAATTAATCTGAACATATCTCGCTCTAAAGTCTCTTCTTCTCTTGCTTCTCTCCTCATGACGTGGCCCCTGTGCTCCCGCTGTGACGGACTTCCTCCTCCACACAGTTTGTAAGTACATCATTAGCCCATCACTCCTCTCTGTCTTCCTCCACATCAAGTGTCACAGCTCACCAGCCATTGTGTGTCCTGTCCATGTGAGCCCTCTTTAGCCTCCGCTTCCCTCACCGGGGAGCGTGTGGCGGGGGGGGGACAGAGATGTCCCCTGAGTGATTGGACAGGTGAGGGCGGTGGGACAGGGGGGAGCTCACCCCGGTAGGCAGGAACAGAGACGCAGGAAGGGAAGACGCCGCATCCTGTTTTAGCCTCGTCCATCACCACTGCCCACCGGGAGACCCGCCGAGCTGCCCGTCAAACAGCCGTTCAGCCAATCTGTCTTCAGATGTGACAACGGGCAGACAAAAAGAGGCAGAGATACACAAGCCAGACAGCATCTATCACAATCTGTCTGCCAGACGCTCGACACTGAGAGGTGTAGCTACATATCGCTTTACGACTTTCTCCTTCAGTCGGTAAAAGCTGAAATATTTCTCCTTCCAGCTACTGGAACGGTTTGTTGTGCTACCATTAGCACAATTAGCCTCATAGCCCCTAAACACAGAAGGACTCCTGTCCTGTTCCAGCGTTGCATTGGCCCTACAACACTTATCAGCTGGTCGCAGATGTTTCTTGACTCCTGACTTCATCTGCTTCTTTTTTTTACCACAGAAATAAAAATTCTGAATATCGCAAGAAAATGTTTTTTTTTTTCCCCCCCAAGTTTTTTGCAGATCAAACAAAAAGCTCTGAATCAATTACAAAGGGACATATTGGTCCACCGGTTTAGCCCTGTGGTTAAGAGTGCGTCCTATTTACAGAGACTGCAGTTCTCGCAGACCATCCTGGGTTCACGTCTGGCCCTCAATATTTGCTTCAGCCTTCTACGATTTTCTCCGGATCTGTCCTTTCAAATTAATTCATTAAATGTACCAAAACATATATTTAAAAAAAGAAATGACAAACTGCGAGTAACTTTTGTATGAACTTGGAAAAAGAGACGAGAGCACAGATGGCCTAGTGGTTAGGTCATGCCCCATGTACAGCTGGCTATAGTCCTGAAGGTTCAAATCCGAGATGCAGCTCCTTTCGCGCGTGTCAGTCCCCACTTTCTCCCTATCAACAGTCCTATTCAAATACAGGAATAAAATGCTCTAAAAGGCAAAAAGAGAGGCACCTGACGTGAGCACAATGCATCTTGGGAAACTGGTTTATATAGTGGGGGAACATGCACCAAACAGCGTCAGGATGGGGAGTCAAACCCGCGTCCTGCAAAGTTTTTATTTCTTAAGAAGTCTGTTTTCCAGAATGTAAAAAAATCAGTTTTTAAGTGTTTCAAACATCCTCAGTTGAGAGTTAATTCAGTTACTGTTTGATTCACTATGTTAGGGGACGGGCTCTGAAAAGATGCAAGTGGTTACTTGGCCCACATCTGCACCGACGCTTTGCTTTCACCTGTTGATGGCCCATAATTACACAGCTTAAAGTGTGCAGGGGGAAACTGTGGAGATCACAGATGTGGTTCAAACAGGTGGATGTGGTTAGCAGTTTGTGTTGTACGTACATGTGTCTGTTATTTTCACATCTTTGTGCGCGGACATGTGGGTGTGTATCTCTCACGGCCGTGTCCCGGGGCCCCTGTGTTTCCCTCCCTGACGTGTGCTGACAGTAGTGGGCTGATGTCTGGGTGGGTCTCCACTCTGCAGGTCACACCAACATCATCAATCTTCCCCCTGGTGACAGGCGGCCGGGCCCCCTCACTGTGGGCACAGTGCTGTGTTGTTTTGTAATTAGGCAGGAAACCATCTCTCCATCTCTCCTCACTATTCCTCCATCCATGCGCTCCCCTCTGTGCACAGCTGGCTCTCTGCCCTCACACAGCCAATGAGAAGCCCCCCCCCCCCCGCTCACCTTAACACTACTTGTAATGATGCTTCAGTAATGACCATACCAGACAACAGTGCAGAAGAATAATGCACAACTCGTTTGTCTTGTTGCACACAGACCGCTCTGCACTGGGCTGCCAAACACGGCAGTGAGGACATGGCTACTCTGGTGGCTAACGCCGGAGCTGACGTCAACACCAAATCAGTGAGTGCATTTCTATCTACAGTGGGCTACAAGGGGCACTCCAGCTATTTGAAAATAGTCCCGTCAGACTGAATACCTCAATCCTAATTCAAGATCACCTCGATGTCATTTTCACTCACTGAAGTCTGTGCAATGAGTAAACTAACTTTGTAACAGGGCGTTCACACTCACAGTATATACTCCTGAAAAAACACATTTTTCGTTGGGACCTCACCCGGAGTTTCTCCTGCCAGACCCCTAGTATTTTTTTCCACAGAAAGTCCGAGTGGGCTGAAGTGAGAACGCAGCAGGATATTCTCTGGAGAATTCACATCGAGCCAATTGGAGGGGGGAGTGATGTTTATATATGTTACTGCTGCACGGTGCATAGAGTGTCTGCACGAGACCGCTACGATCTCTGTGCACTTAATTAAACAGTACACGTTCACTTAAGTAAATGCTACATGTAGCATTGATATAAAGGCAATTATACTCTTTATAGCATCTTAAAGCGGACTCTGTTGCTTCGTCCGCTAATTATGCGTCGCTTTTTTTAACCTCAGGAAACCCCCCGCCCCCCTCTCCCGACTGACAGGGATAGTCTCCTGCTGTGATGAGCATATGTGAACAGACAGGTCAGGAGAATATCCAGGGAGGTCCTCCTGAAATGATTTAGATATTTTCAGGAGTGTATATGTGAAAACAGCTTCAGTGAAATGTGTGGAGTGCCCCCGCTTTAAATCTACTCGTCTGTGCAGTTCTCTTCTATTAGACGGACACATTCACTGATTTCTTTGTGGTGTTCTTTCTTTCAGCATGTGAGTATCCAGATGAAGAAGTGATGGTTATGTACAGTAAGCTGCTGTCTTTTTTTTTTTCCTTCTCTCTCTCTCTGTGATGTAATGATCCTAAATGATGTGTGTGAACATCCAGCTGTGAAAATGGATTTACAGCAGCACGTGTTGCGGGGCTGCAGGAGTGCTCCGCTAATAAATCACGTCATGTCATGTTAATTGTCTCAGCAAAACAGTGCGTCTATGTGCCGGCATGCACAACCCAAACGACGACGCAATTTTCACGGAATTGCCGAGCAATTATGTTTTTTGTCATTATCTCGTGTTTCCATAACCTCTGCTAATTTGTGTGTTTTTTTTCCTCACGCTGTTTTCATTGGCTGCGTTTTGGGACCTTGGGAAACCTGCAGGGGGTATGTACTAAAAGCCCTTCCAGCTCTTCCAGCCCTGAGATCAATGTGAAACTGCATTAACCCTTTATGTGTCAGTGTTAACGGTGTGTTTGCATTTAGCAGCACTTACAGAAAATTACAACAAATGTATTCATTTCAACTTTTAGATTTTTTAAATGTATATTTCCTTTTGTTCTCCTCCTGTTTCTGTCCTGCAGGGATACACTCCTTTACACATCGCAGCGTTACACGGTCACCAGCACATTCTAGACCTGCTCACGGGAACATATGGTAAAAACAGCTTTCATTGATCCCACAGTTAACAGCTCAACAGCAGTGTTGCATCCGGATTAGAAGTTATTTCAAATTAGACGTGGGGAAAATAGATTCTCAGCCCTATTTAAAAAACAAATAAAACTTGTAATCTTGTGTTTCTGGTTGGGATATAATTTAGATAGAAGCCTTTTGATCACATCAGTACAACGGAGGATTAGGGCCACGTAAATTGTTTTATTTTTTTTTAATTTTGAGAGTAAAGTCGTAAATTAACGAGAATAAAGTTGCAGTGCTCTTCTGATATAGACTATAATAACGACTTTATTCTTTTATTCTTTAGAGTTTAAGAGTTCTACTTTCATAATTTTCGCGGAGGCTGGCCTCAAACTCGTTAATTTACGACTTTAATCTCATAAATTTACGACTTTATTCTCGTTAATTTACGACTTTATTCTCGTTAATTTACGACTTTATTCTCGTTAATTTACGACTTTAATCTCATAAATTTACGATTTTATTCTCATAAATTTACGAGTTTAATCTAGAATTTTTTTAACATGGCCCTAATCCTCCGTCGTACATCAGTGTTTAAAAGCATTACAAATAAATTGTCCTTCACATAATTCAGACTTTTCTTCCATGCTGACTCAACACTTTCACAGTAGAGGTGCAGTTAATCAGTTTCAGAACAAATCTGTGTTTTTGTTTACTTGTGGATCATTGGATTGTTTCTTTTTGTTTTGGGTGTAAAGTGTCAGTAAAGTAGCTTACCTGCTCCTCACGTGACCAGTCTCTACAGCTTATCAGACGTTTTCTTTAATCAGGTGCCAAAGAAAACTTGAGGGACTACAGCGGCCATCTTGCCTGCCATTATCTGAAAATCAAAGAACCAGAGGGTCCAGAAGAAGACTGCGAGATACGTGAGTGTCTCATTCCTCCGCTGAATTCATCAATATTTGATGACTGACTTTAATTATTAATGCTGGTATAAATTTAATCTTTAATTTAAGTGTTTTCCTCTCTGACAGTCATTTGCCTGAAATCATTGTTTTGTAGTTTGTGCACCAGTGAAGCATCTTGTATCTCACTTTTAACACATGCTACAGTAATGAAGTTTAATTAAAATATTACCACAGCAACTTTTCTTTCTTGTGATCACAGAGTTTCAAGTCACTCAGGCCAGAGAGCGAGAGCGAAACAAGAACAGGAAGTTGGTGTCGTTGTTCCACTCTAAGAAGAAATGGGGCTCGGCGGAGGATCTGGCTCCCATCGAGGAGGAGAGGACGGCGTCTCATCAGCTCACCCTTCCTCCATTCAGACCCAGGAAGTTCTCCCGCTGAGGGAACACGGGGGAACGTCTATGACTTCCCCCGTGTCTGCTACACTCACACATCCACCAGGTCCTCACAGTCACTCACATGTAGCTACACACAGAGTGTAAGCCTACATGTATGTACAAAGTGTTAACACAAATCATGTAACCAGGATCATACACGTTCTACCAAAGCACCACAACAGCTTCATGATTACTGAACCAACACATATGGAATAGGAGATGTTACAGATGATGCTTCGTCTTTTTTGTGTATCATCGATCTGAATGCTCACCACTAAAGTATTTCTTGAAGCCTTTAAAATGTTAGAGCTATTGCTAAATGTTACTTTTGCCTTAATGTTTCTAAATCAGCTCAGGCCAAAATGTTTCTTTGAGCTTTGTTGGTGCTTCAGGGAGCAGCTCTGCAAATGTGTCAATGTGATTTCAATTCATCTTTCTGTACCGTCTGAAAACACCACCGCACCTTCGGCAGCACTGCATCCTATAATCCTATTTTTTTAAGCTGCAGCTTTGATTTTTCTTGCAACAGGACGTTGTGTGTGTGATGGAGTGTCCATGTTGATCATAATGAAGGAACATGTGACAGAGCGGATCAAGTGTCGCTCTATAACGTGTTTCTGGATTCATTGAAAGCCAGCAGTGAAGATGTATCAGGCCTTAAAAACACAGACAGCAAAGCGAAAAGTTCTTTAAACTTTTCTTGGAATGTGTTCTCCGAATGAAAAACGTAGAAAATACAGACTTATCTGTTTAAAAATGCATTTTAAGATTTTATTTCTTGGACTTTAAAAACATAATTTGTATGTAAATCTCTTGAAATTTCAGTAACCAAAAAGTTTTAGACTGATTTGCTACGTAGTCAAAATTACATTTTTACTGAGAGAATTATTTTGAAATCACAGCTTCACTCTAAGCTGAGGGACTGTGAGAAAAGTATTAGCATACGGAGGAGGGTTGAAACGAAGGTTGTTTCAATGTTTTTGAAACTAATGTTTTAAAATGAAAGTCTGTTTTATTTGTAATGATGGATAGTATCAAAGTACCAAAGCTTTAAAAAAAAAAAGAAATCCACTTCACACCTTTAGTCTTAGTTTGAACCAAAACGTGCCACGAGAGAGAAAGAGACAAAAAACATTGCTAAAGTTTTTCTATAAATACAGAGTATGCAGGACTTGGTGATTAAAAAAGAGAAATTTGATGTGCTTAGAACTTTTATTTTTGTTTATACAAGTGTCATACAGTATGGAGTTTAAAAATGTGGTGTCCTAACGACCTGAGTGAAAACATGTGTTTCACTTTCTAATGGAGTTTAGACATTTGACTGTTTTTTATGTCATCATCCTCCTCCTGTTGATCAAGCTCGCATCAAAGGCTCATATGTCGGGGCGTCTTTTGCCTATTGGTTAGTGCGCGTGCCCTCGAGAGCGGGCGGGTTTGAATCCGACCTGTGGCTCGTTTCCCTGGATGTCATTCCTCTCTCTCGCTCTCTCTTTCCCTGATTTCTGATTCTATTCACTGTCATATCTCTAAAATAAAGGGAATAAAAAGAAGACCCTCAAATAAACCTAAAAAACAACAATAAAACCCTCAGAGGTCCAACTGAACTTACATTTTTTGTATTTAAATTGCATGTTAACTTTTTCAATAAGACGTTCCATTCTAACGCTGCGACTCTTTCCCGTGATTATATGTTTAAAGGGCTTTTCATTCATTTCTTATTTGTTGTAAAACTTTTGCTTGAGTATTCAGTGTCGTTGTAAAGAAGTTTTTGTTTTTTTTCCCCCATGCTGATTATAATCTGCCTCTGTCACATATTTGCACAATATTTATATAATGAAGATATTTTGGTATTAAACGGTATTTTATATCGACCTGTATGTCTGTGTCTTCTATTGAAACCACATTGTTCACGTCTACTTCACTGACACTCTGGAATCACCAGCGTCAGTCTCATTCATCTTTGAACTGTCTTGGTTGCTCACACAGTGTTTTCTCATAATGCCCTTTTTTTCTCTCTCTCTCTCTCTCTCTCTTCCTTTAAATACAATAACGCTGCTTCTTTAAGCTGCCTTTGATCTCACTTTTAACTACCTGACTTTGCTGGCTACAGATGGAGTAAATATGGGCCCTGCTAACTCTCCATACGGCTTTAGACCTTAAATCCTGATTAGCTGAAAAGGACAGCACTTGCTTTTGGGTCCTGGATATCAGACGACACAGAGGGGAACAGAGGCGAGTGTTTTTGTGCTTCATTTTTGAAGCGAGGATGTTGGGGGGGATAAGAGGGAGTTTCTGTAATAGATACTTATCTTACTGCCCTCAAGCCCCTCAAACAAAGTCCCCCTCTGAAGAGATTATAACCCAGGGAGGGCACATTAACTCTAATCCAATGCTTTGAGGCCCTCGCACCCCCATACCACCCTCTGCCCCACTTATTCCAACCCTTCTGTTGTTGGGGGGCTACCTTGTATCTGGTGCATGTATGAGCAGAGCCTGTGGCTACACGAGGGCTGTGTGTGCGTGTGTGTGTGTATGTGTGTGTGTGGGTGTGTGTTTGTGTGTGAGTCAGGGGGGTGGAGTGACTGGTTCAATAGCACGCTGACTCTAATGAAAAGCATTGAGGGGTGCATACTGCTGTGTAACTGATTCCTCTCTCTGAAGAGATTAGGCGCTACATTGTTGGTTCAGTTGCTCATTTCCATGAGAGCACAGCCTCCCACCAGCGGCCGCTCGCCTTTGTCATTTCGAGTTGGAAAACACAGAGCCCAATGTCCCCGGCTTCCTTGTTACCTATTGTTTCACAAATAGGCCAAAATGTAGATGTCACGTCACAGATGCCCAATAACCTCATTAGCTGCTCGCTGTGAGGCTGAAGACGGAAAATAATAATAATTTTTAAAAAAAGGAACAAGTCAAGTTAGAGCTTCCCTTAGTACAACGGTTATTCTGTGAAGAACAGGGCGGTCTTTAAAAAGTGTACAGCAGCATGCTTGGCCTTTTTTTTTTGCTTTAAATGTGCCATGTGAGGGAGGGAAACTATTTCTAAGATTAAATTATTTAAATAACAAGTTTTATAAAAGGTAAATTAGATGGATGGATTTAACTTTGCTCTTCGGGAAATTACTGTCACATTTAAAATAACAGCGGTCGAAGCCAAAAGAAAAACATCCTCACTGCCTTTTCAAAACTCTGCGAGTAAAGATGTTTAACTTCCTCTTCAACACCTGAACATGTTTATATCAGACGTTACAGAGGCGCTGCAGCGATCCCATTCCAGTGCGTTCACAATAAACATTATTATTTAAAGCTGCAGACCTCAACCATGTGTGGCAACACCGCTCTGAACTGAGGCCTCGCATGCTGCACACATTTTACAAGAGGGATAGTCCAAAGTATGAAAAAAAAACTGAATCTCTTCATTTTGATAACGTGTATTTATGTTACACTGTCTGCAAACACCTCATCGTTGAAAGCTATAAATAAATAATTACCGTAAATCAGTTCTTCTGCACCTCTAAAACACAAGTTTGCAGTTTCAGTGATAACACATCAGAGTGTCAGAACTCTTTAAATTCTTTGAGCTGCAGCTTTGAGGTGACAGAATCTGCGTTTCCACAAAGCGGGCCCGGTTTGGTTCAGTATAGTTTGGTACTGTTTGTACGGTAAAACCTGATGTTGCTTGGGTTTCCACAGCCAACCCGTACTCTTCCACATCAGTAAATCACAGCGGTGTGACATAGAGTGTAGAGAGCCAATCAATTCAAGAAAAAGAAAAAGAATGACGGTGGAAACTGGGCTAAAGAAGAACGGCTTTCTGGGGACCGAGTTGATTTTTTTCAAGAATAACAAATGATGGTAGCTGGTACCTGAATAAGGTTTCTTTTCATGTCTTTATTGTAGAGACAGGACAGTGGACAGAGTCAGAGATCGGGGAAGGAGAGAGAGAGAGAGAGAGAGAGAAAGGGGAATGACATGAGTGAAAGGAGCCACAGGTCGGATTCTAACCGGGGCTGCCTGCTTGGAGGACTAACGCCTCCATACGTGGGGCGTGTGGGACCGCTTAATGCTGAGCGGCTCTGCGCGGGAAATGGCTTCAACAATAAATCAGATATGAAAACATCCGTCGGTTAATCGTCTTACTGCTGCTTTAAGGCGGAGGAGGGGAAAGTAGCAAGACAACAATGTTGACGGTGTCAAAAGAAGGGGGAGGGGAATAACATTTAATGTGGAGGATCCATGTAAGGACTCTTCAATACACACACACACACACACACACACACACACACACACATAAAAACGTATGACATTGCTTCATGCCACACATGATGTGTAGAAACGGGGTGCTGCGAGTTAACAAGCTCTTCTGCAACACTGAGCACACCGGGGGGATCTGCTCTGACCGGGCTGGGCTAACTGGACCAGAGCTCTCCCACCGAGCGGATCCTGCGGGGCAGCAGCACTCGACACAGGGACAACACCACCGCCAGCAACCAGCTGTCACACCAGCCCATCACGGCCCTGCCAACGCCGCCTGTCACTCACCCAGCAGAGGGCCGTCAATCAGCCCGCACCCAGGGAGGGAGCAGGGAGGCGGGCCACCGGCCGGCCCCCTCGACAAAGACATACTTACATTTGCAAGCGGTTTCAGCGCCACGACTGTTTAGAAAGAATGATAGAGTGGTCCTGATAAGAGTAATGACAAAGGACAAAGAGTGGGGAGAGAGGGGGGGGGGGGTCTGGAAGAAGGGGGTCAGATAGTAAAGAGGTGGGAGAGCTTGATAACATTCACACTCTGCTTACATCTCTCCATTTGTGAGGCGTCCCCCAGGAAAATCTCATTAAGGAGGAAAATTGAGGGTTCTGGTTGGAAGCCGCGATGTGTTTGTGGTCAATCGACTCTTTGTGATCTGCATCGTCATAAACGTTGACCTCAACTCCATTAAGCCCGGCTACGTGGCCCCTGTGTGAAATGTGTCCTGCATGGTAGATAAATAAATGAATAAAACAGTAAAAACAGAAGAAAAAAAAATCGAAAGCCAGATTTAAACAAAAGCTTCATAATTCTTCTCAAAATACCAAAAGAGCTCCCCATGGTCGTCCTTCTTGTGTTTTAGGATTTGTTCTGTTTTTTAAATGTTCTTTTAAAAAAATCGCCGTTTTCAACTTTTTCATGTATGCTTCTAAAATGTCCGAGCGCTTTAAAGACTTGATTGCACTTTTAAATAAATATCCCGTCCCGTCCTCTGGTTTGGATTTCTCAGAGAGTCCCTGCATAAACTTCAGTAAACTTTCTCCCCTCCTCGGTATCTGCTGCAGTAAAAATAAACTAACAAGCGGGAGGCGTTGAAGACTGTGGATTCTCTGCAGGCTTTTGTTGTCCTGTTCACACCTATGAGCTATTCTAATTGCATGTTTAGTCCCTTTGTTAGCCCTGCAGGTAGGGGGATTGTCTGTAATTGAGGTCACACCTAAACCTTTTGTCCTGACCTGCTCATTAGCTGCATGCCTTGTCATTCTGCACTTTTACCTCAAAACCAGGCCCCTTTTTTTTTGTTTTTTTTGTTTTTTTAAACCCGACTGTCTGCGCATTATGTGGAATATGCAGAGGATTTGTAGATAAAGGACTGTTTCCCCACAGAGGAATGACTCAGCTCTTATCAGAGATAGAAGATAACTTCATCCTCTTTGCTATCTTGTCCTGTATCTCTGCGTGCTGAGGACAGTCCTCTTCCATTTGGTCACTTTTTCTCTCCTGTAAACGAGCGACATCCTCACGGCAAACAGCTCAGACCCGACCTGTCAGAGCGGGACCAACACCTGCATTGTGGGCGAGCTGCAGAGAGAGGAAGAGAATGAAAAGGAGATCTGCGTGGGGGGACAAAGGCTTGCGGCCCTGAGCTGTTTGTGTTGTGAGATGTAGACACTGATGCCATAAGCCTTCTTCTTCTCTTTGCTCTCTGCTCAGCCCATTGTTGCTCCTCTTCAAATTTGCTTTAGGTTCTGTGGACCCCACCCCGAAGAATTCCTTTTTTTCTCCCCCCTCCAGCTTCAACACTTTCAATCTGCAGCTTATTCAGAGGTATCTCTCACTCTGATCCACCCTCTAAACTAGAATCTTATAAAACATCTCGTAGGAAAGCTCAATACAAAGGGGTGAACAAAAATGGAGAGGTTGCTTGTTTTTATTTTAAAGGTTCTTTTAACTTTCAGTCAAGAAAGAGTGGGAAAATGGCCACCACAACTTTGTAAAGCCAAAGATGACATCTTTAAAATATCTTAAATTTGACCTAAAGTCTAGGGTCCGACCGATATGGAATTTTTGGGGGCCGACACCGATATTAAGAAGAGAGAAAAATCTGATAAATCGGCCGATATTTTTCTCTGTTCTATGTCTTTAGAGATAGATGAAAAAAACGATATATAATGAAGACCAGATGGTCACTCAACTGGAACGTTACTGCGCCTGAACGTGCATCACCTCAGTCACCTCGGTCGCGCTCTACTAAACTCCAAACACAAATGCTATTTAGTTTTAATCATTAATGATAAACAAAACAAAAAATATATATATTTGCTTTGTACGACACCTTTTTGTTTTTCGCCATTTAGAAATTTGAACTTCTTCTTCACTCAAAATGTGCCAAATCATTTTGTTAATTAAAGGATTCCTTTATCATCTTAGCTTCAGTCAAAAATGATTCCTTGGGAGGGAATCCCATGGAAAATGTCTGATTAGGGCTGAAACTATGTTTTAACATGTATTTATTGGTTGATTATTGTTCAGTTGTTCAGTTTATAAAATGTCAGAACATTTGTAAAAATGTAAATCAGTGCTCCCCAAAACCAAAAAAGTTAATAATATTAACTATATAAATTTGACTTTTTCTTCAATAAAATGTGATTAATCGATTACGAGAATACCTGGAATGTATTTGGCTGTATCCAGAAATCCATACTGAATGACATCTACTCTGCATTCAGGATATTTTTCAAACCCACACAGAAGTCGTGTGTGTATGTTGTACGGGACATTACGTGTTTTTCCATTGCGTCATCATCAGTGATCCAAACCTTTACGAGGAGATCATTGCCTAAAGTACACTCGGTGTGTTTCTGAGCCCGTTGACTTTAAAACTCAGAGTTTCAGGGCCACTGGACTGTTCAGAGGCTGAAGTGGTTTTGTTGTAGGAAAGAAGTGAAATCTGCATATGAAAGGAGAACAGACTGCTCCGTTACTGTGGTGGAAGAAGCATTCAGACCCCCCCCCCACACACACACACACACACACACACACACACACTTGAATTAAAGTATCAATGCCACCTTGTAGTAATAATGTATTACAATTGAAGGCCCCTACATTTAAGATTTAACAAAGTGAAAGTAGAGAAGTATCAGCAGCACGGTGACATCAGAGCTCCGGATGTAGCAGGAGGACGAGAGTCAGCATTAAAACAACATGAATAAGATCATCATCTCTAATATATATATACGTGTGGGGAACAGACGGTGATGAGCTGATATTAACTTCTTTAGATATTTGAATCAACAACATAATATAATGATCACATGTTAGATGTCAAACATTCATCCTAAAAGAAATTAATCTGATAAATAAATGAAGAATTAAGACACAGATGTTGGAAGTTGGATTTTAAAGTATGTTAATATTGTTCTTGAGTAAATTTACTTTGGGATCGTTCCTCATCTGTTCAATCATTACTTGAAAAGAGAAATAAATGCTGCACACTACTCTTGCTTAGTTTCACCAGTTTATTAGAAAAATCACGACGCTTCAGTCGAGAGGTTCAGAGGGACTTAAGCGTTGTGATTCTTCTAATAAATTGGTGAGACTTAGCAAGAGTAGTATGCAGCATTTCTTTCTTTTCAAGTGACAGTTTGTCGCCCTATGCACCTACTTTATGAGGTCGTTGGATGTGTGAACACCTACTTTAAAAAAACTAAGTCTGTTTAATTAAAATCTATTTCTTCAATGAAATAAAAATGTAAAATAATAATCATCTGAATATGTGTAAAACCTTTGAACTCATTTTGCCTCCTAAAGTTTGAGAGATTTTTTACAGCATCACAAAGAGGACACATGGACTGTATCGTTATTAAATGATCCTGTAAAAAAAGTTATTAGAAATTAAATTACTTGTGCTGCTGCTGCTGCTGCAAAAAAAAAACATATCAACTAAAGACTGTGAGGATGTTGGGATTCTTCAAAGAGTGAAAAATCACTGCAATCAACTTCATCTATTATCATTTTAATGGCTGCAGTAAAATCCTTTATTTACAGGTGATCCCTCGTTTGAACACAAACACCTTCACAGAGTCTAACACTCCTGTAAACGATGCTTAGAGAAACTATACACGGACTATATTCACATAATTAAAGCACGGTTGCTCTTACAGAGTATATAAAGTTGGATCAATCCACTTGTCATTTCCTTTAGAGAACTCATAGTTACATTTCAGAAACATGTGTGAGCGTGCATATTGGACTAACGTGTTGCTATGGTAATCTGAATAAAGTAGATTTCATTTTGAGTTATTACATTTGCAGCATGCGTTCACTTGAATTGTGTTAATAACTATTTTATATTAGAAAGGCTGCAGACACATCAGTGATGTAAACAGGTCTGACTGCAGCAGATTGAAAGATGAGAGTTTACAGAGGCTCAAATCAAATGCAAACTAACAAAGACAAAGTCTGATTGAGATTCAACTGAGAAGAGTTTTGGAGTTAATAGAACGGCTTTCAGGGGGAGTATGGGGGGGGGTGCAGCTTTTAACTTTTACAGTTTAATATCTGGATTTTAATTTTGGATTAAATGCTTGCAAAGAAGAAAAAAATAATGAAAACTGACACTAAATACAGAAATCTTGACTAAAAAACAAAAGGTGGTGGGTGAAATATATTGAACCTGATTTACTGTTCCTAATGTTAGAAGTGAATACAAGTATATCCAGCGCTTCACCTCTTAATGCTGTTAATATAATAATGAAAAAGATGTGAGATAAGAGAGGTGTGCTGCTCCTTTGAACTCAAACACTGAGCTTAACTATTTCTCTTTTGAAGGGGGGGGGCAGTGGAATAAGAAGTGTAATCTTCTCCTCTTATCTCTAACATCCCCCCTCCACACACACACACACACACACACACACACACACACACACACACACACACACACACAGCGCACACATTAGCATCTGTTATCTCACAATTATCATATACATTAGTCAACACCTGTTTCGCTTAACCTCGTTTAATTAGGGCCATTGAAACGCTGCGCTTCACCCAAAACAAAAACCATCCGACATGTAAGAGGGCAGTTTGTTGTGGTTCACTCAATAAATTAACAAATAAAAAGATTTATGGCTCTGGGGCTTTTCAGGCTGAAAGACAAGTGTTAAACATTTTATTTTATTTCTCATTTATTCAAGGAAAACAAACTGCATTTAATATGTTTTGGAGAACGGTGGGGAAAAAAATCGGACTTTTACGCGTGCGTAAAATGTTCCCCATTTGAATATCAGCGTAATTAAAGCCACCGAGACGTTTAATTCAATCTACAAAAAGGTTCAGATGTGTAGGTGCTGAAGTGTCAGGAGCGACAGTGTTGACTGGCAGGATGTTGTTAACTGAATTCGGCTCGTTTTCTAAGATCTCCGCCGATTAGTGCCAGACATGAGAAGTGTTAAGAGTCGTGATAAAAATTACATTAAACTGGTGTTAAGCTTCCTTGTCGCGAAAACTAAAATACGCACATAATAATAAAAAAAAGGATTTAAAACATGCAAATGGAGGGAATGGACACGACAAAAAAGTTTTTCTAAATGTGAAAAGCTGTAAAACTCTTAAAGGAGGTTTTTTTGTGCTAATAAGAAAAAATTAAGATGAGGATAAAAGTCAACTGTAATGATTTTATTTCTACAGTCTGCTCTCTTATCATTGTAGGATAAAATCACTGGGATTCTTTATTTTGTTTTTCTGCTGATATGTCTCTGTTTGATATATAAACAAAGTGAATTTAAAAAATATATGTTTTAGAGTAAATATGAGGTATTTGGGGGGGTTACTTTACATCCAGTTCTCCAAAGAAAAAGAACTACATTTACATAGTTCCTCAGCTCTCTGCAGAAAACTGTGTCGCGATAAGCAGCATTTATTCAGCCTCTCCACCAAAACGCTAAAAGGAACAGCGGAGGGCTTCTTTGATGGGATTTACTGCCAGTGAAAGCTGCAGGTCTTTTGAACGTAGCTGTCAGTCAATACCACAGGGACCTCCCCCCTCTCTCCCCTCTCTCTCTCCCCCCCGGCCCCCCGGCACACACACGCTGGCAGCTTGGGTGTGTATAAATAGATGCAGGAGGCTGGATCGTCACTCAACCCCGAATAGCTGGGACACAGGAAAGATGCCCGCTTCACAAACTGGATTTGGAAACTTCTTCTTGGAGAGGAACATCAACATGCCGGCTGGATATCAGATCCCGGTGCTGGGCTGCCCGCCGGGCGTGCAGCAGCAGCAGCTGGCGGCGATGGCTGCAGGAGTTCCTTTAACGTACTCAGGACTACAAGGATACAACTTTATCCCCTATCCACACCACAGGCACATCACACACATGGTGAGTTCATAATGCTCGAACTTTAACTGTCATACAATGCGCCATGCTGGTTTGTTAGGAACTATTTTAAACAACGATGTGCGTAAAATCTGACGTTCAATAACCTAAAACAACTGAAAAGCTTCAGCATCTTACTTTATACTGGCACACCGAGTTGTTCTGACTTTATGACATTCAAAATAATTAATAAGCACGTGAGAAATTGTTTTTTTTTTCCGCTTCTAAATATATCACTCCTAGTTTTAAACACTATTTAACTCCGTGCGTAATTCCTCATTTTAACGGTTCTTTTCTCGCTCTTGCAGAATAACGGTTTCGACCTGAAGGCCGCATCTCCCTACCATCACGCGCTCCTGGCTCGTGGGGGAGCTTTCTACTCGCCGTACCGCCCGGGAGCAGCGGAGGATCCCGGGAGGGTCGCCAAGGTGGCCACCCGGGAGAGCACCGGGGCGCTTAAGGCCTGGCTGAACGAGCACCTGAAGAACCCGTATCCGACCAAGGGCGAGAAAATCATGCTCGCGATCATCACCAAAATGAGCCTGACGCAGGTCTCCACCTGGTTCGCCAACGCGAGGCGGCGCCTGAAGAAGGAGAACCGGGTCAGCTGGGCGTCCAAGGGGAAGTCGGACGAGGAGGAGGATGACGAGGAGCAGGAGGGGGAGAGTGACGATGAGGACAGCTCGCTGCAGAAATGTCACCTGGATGACCAGGAAGACGAGGAAGAAGAAGAAGGGCAAGCTGAGCGCGCAGACACGCAGGAGCAGGTGGGGAGCGCAGCACCTGTGGAGGAGCATTTGGAGATGCAGCAGCAGCAGCCAGGCAGCGAGCACCAGGACAGAAATCTCGCACTTGTCAAGAAAGTTGAAAACTCGGAACACACACCTTCCGTTTTGGAAAGTAAAGACAACATTGTGAACCAGAAACCAAAAATCTGGTCTTTGGCAGAAACTGCCACCTCGGACACTGTGAAGAAACCCGTGGACAGTATTTACCATCCGGCCGGGAAACTTTGGGCAGAGTGGGCTTCAAGGAACGGCCTGTTTGTCCCCACATACACACACACTCGTGAACTCATCTGAGCGCGTGTGTTTGGACTCAAATGAAGAGACTTTTAACCACATCTTTTTTTTTGCACTTTAAACTATCAAACCTCAGGAAACTTTTACCTCCTGAAGTTTGCAGTGAAATGTTCTGGGACCAAAGACTAAAACGTGTTATTGTAAATAAATGTAGATGTATTTTTCCATCGCCAAAACTGTAAATTATGTTTCCTTTTGTCTAATCGTGAAGAAATATTTTTGCTTAAATAAAGTTCAGCTTCGAGCGAGATCCTGATGTGTGTGTGTGTACTTGGTCTGTGACTTTGACTTTTAAGTTTTAACACAATAATAATACATTTAGGCGGTAACAATTTAGAAAGAAACCATGCAACATCATGTCCTTCTGCACATTTTTGAAAGTTATAGTGCAATGTTTATGTTAAGAAGGTCGTGCGTAAAAGGGGATATTCTTCAATATGAACCAAAAATACTCCAAAATGAGAATAACAAAGAAAGTTTTTGACTTAGTTTGCATTTCAAACACTTGGCCAATTAAGTCAACGAAACTGTTTTCTGATAGGTGATAATCCCTGCCAATTCAATTTAACTTTTAGACCTCTTTGTGGATTTATCTTCAAAGTGAAAATGGATGTTGGAGAGGTGTTCATTTCAGCCATTTTATTCTCAGGAAAAAAAAGTCTAAAAATGTAACTCTGGATGACCCAGCAGCAGCAGCAGCAGCAGCAGCAGCAGCAGCAGAGCCAATGGTTCTGTTAATGTGTTGGTAATGTTTAAAGATGTTGCTGAGGGGATCCCTCGCTATCAAACACTCTACGCACAGTACAAAGGGCTGTACCTCCATTAATCCGGGGATAATGAGAAGGCCCCTGGGAGCTGTCGATGCCTTGTCTTCGGGCCTCACCTCTCCATGCAAATCCCTACAAACAGGAACACACAGAGAGGAGATTAGCTCTTATCTGAGCACATTTTTTTTCCCTCAAGCAAACACATGAATACAAAAGAACGTCAAGTAACAAAGCTTCAAAATGTTAAGAGTTATCTCTTCTACCTTTACAATATTTCTTATTGACATCATTTTTTTTTTTTTACATTTTATAATTCCAATATAACACTTTCTGATTATCTGAGCGTTCACAAGCGTATAGTGAACCTCTAGCGCCCTCTTGAGGGATCCAGGTGTAACTGCAGCCTGATTGTCAACAGGTGCACATAACGAGCAAAGGTAGCTCATCTGATGCTTTTTTTGGGGGTCAAATCAACACATTTAAAGATTACACTCACATTTTCAGACTCCCTTTGACTTACCCTTTCCGGGAATAGGCCTATATCGTCTTTGTCCAAGAGATACATGTCCTTAAAACCCGGTTTAAATCATGGACGCAACACGCGCATACCAAACTCGCCTTAAAATTCACACGTTTTTAATTTGTTTTTAAATCTTAAAGGATTTCTGTGACACTTAGCCCTACAGCTATGGTTTCAACGCAAACGGGAAGTTTTTGTTGTTAATTCGGCATGCTATTAATACTGCTATCTTATAAAACAAAAGGCTAATACAATAAAAACCCGATTTAAGTTGCAGCTCACACTACTTCCTGTTTATATCCCGCAAAGCATTATGGGAACTGTTGTACCACATTAGTTCGAGGCAGTGAGGTCCCATGTCACGACTTTAAAAATGTCTTTAAAGTAAGAAAACAGGACAAACTGAATAAAATGATAACTGTCACAGTTTAAAGGTCAAGTTTCACACATTTTAATGCGTTCTTTACAAGCTGTTGGCACGTTGGAGAATCTGAATGAATGCTTTTATTTCGAACCAAAAATTTAAATAAGATAACAAAACAAAAAATACAAAAGTAAGTGTCCCAAAAGGAGCAGGAAGAAGTAAAACACATACATACTCCTATGTTACATTTCTTCTGTTAGTTTAAAGATTTTTTCAAATGAAAGTTCACAATTATTTACAGATCACGGGGGACGGGGGATACGTTTGTATATTCACAACAAATATACAAACGTATCCCCAGTTTGTTTGCCACGTAAAAAAAACAGCAATTTCAGTGTATTTACAATCCTAATATCCAGCCAGTCTTACAAACTATAGAGGAATACCCCTAAAACAACTTTTCTTCTTCCATATCTGTCCAAAATAAATTGTTTGTGTAGTTTCTGAACACAAGCTGCACATTTTATTAAATGAAGGAATGTCAAGTAGATAAAATACATAAAGAGGCACATTCACAGCTTCATAAAAAGCAATTTCTAACACATTGAAGAGTTGATTTAAAACTTTAAAATGCTTTACCAAAAGCTATGCAGTCTATTCATTTAGTGTTTCATGCCGCTTGATTAAATATTCTAACACTACACAATCATCACAACAGATTTATATTTACAACACTCAAGGGGGCATTATAAACAAGTGAAACATGATGCAAAAAGCTAAAGTTCATCACAGCTGGGACCTTGGTGAGAGAAGTTTTCAGTCCGTTCATATAGATATTTGTGATTCCTCTTGGGACACGTGCTCTGTTTTGGAGTCCTGTTGGACTCGCTGGCCATTGACGGTGAACCTGACATCTGACGACTCTTCCAGGCTTTGGTCGTCCTCGTTCTCCTCCGGTGTTATTTTGTTACACTCTTCCTGCAGCATGGACTCCTCCTCAGTCGGGTTTACTGCTTTCACTTCTCTCAGTGGCTCATGTTTTTCGCCCCAACATGGTTCGACACAGCTCTACAAGAGAAACATCAAAAATGAAGAAATAAAGAGGATTAGATTTGAGTGGAAGAAAGTGGGTTATTTTTTTAAACATTGAGGGCAGGAGATTTTAATTTCAGTGTGTTTATTCACTTGGCAAATACCCACAAAAACCCCCAAACCTGGTTTCATGTGTCAGGTACAGGGTTTAAGAACAACCCTGGCTCTACACATATAGCTACATCCGAGCTTGTTTTGGGTTAAGCGCAGCGTTTCAAAGGCCCTAATTAAACGAGGTTAAGCGAAACAGGTGTCGACTAAAACATGAAATAGTTAACGGAGTGGGAAGACGACGCTACAACCGGCTTCTGGTAAATATTATGTACATGTGTGTTGTCCATTTGAGAGACTGTAGTATCATATTTACCTTGAACTTTCCTTCTGCTTGTCCTCGTTTCACCAAAACTGAAGAGAAATTACGGAGAGCATGAAGGACATAAAAGGGGATTCATGAAAAAGTCATTAAATTGAATATAAGAGAGAGCATTCAAACCGAAGCTTACCTTTATAACACACAACCCCGATCAGCACAATTAAGATCAAAATCCCAATCCCAATCCCAATTCCATACAACCGTGAGTCTTTCTCTGCAAGGGAAGAGAGAAATGAATCCATTAAGCACACATTGTTCCTGACAGTGTCTTACATCAAATTTCACCCTCAGCAGTGTTAGGTAGGTAACACACACTAGAGGATTTCAGGCCTGATTTAGGGCCCGATCTGCCTACCAAACATGGTTGATATTTACGATTCCAGATCGGGCTGCCTTCAACAGAATACTAACCAATGAGAGCGGGCAGATCGGTAAGCGTCATCACTTTACTTAGTAATTTAACAGCTCACAACCCTGGAAGCTAACATAAAGACATCTGTGTACTGAGCCAAGAAGAAGACTGAAAAAGAAGACCAACTTGTTGAATTATGGTAACAGCACGAGAGGCTTTCTGATGTCTAATTCAACTGATGACGTCCACCGTCCTCCATATTTGTTTTCAGAATCAGAATCTGGGTTTATTGCCAAGTACATTTACACATACAAGGAATCTGACTTGGTGTATTGGTGCTAAACAATTAACAATTTTCTTCTGAAGTCACGTTTGATCACGCGGGTTTCTGTGAGATTTCAGGTCTGTGGAATTGTTACTACAAACAGCAGCTGTGTGGTCTCATGGGCTGGCGTTTGGATGATTATAATATAAAAAAAAAACGTTTGAAACTGTCCTCACTGAAAGTCTGTGGTCTCCCATGTTTTTAAAAACCAGTTGAGATTTGAAAATCGACCAGTGTGTAGCGAGTCTTATGGGACGGTTAGATCTCTTGAGAAACAAGTTTGCATCTCAAATGTTCCCACAACAGGAAACAGGTTTGCTGTTTGTCCGTGAAGAAAACAAACGTTCATTATCTGCCACATGTTTGTATTTAAGGAGGAAGTAAGAAGAAGTAGAAGGTGTAGTCTACACACAGATGTAGTGTAAACAGTGTGTAGGCTAAACGTGTTGGTACCTCATAAGAAACCGCAGACCAAAACTGATTGATGTGATGTTACCTTGTCTCCTACACACTTTCATTTTGAGCGCGATACTCCAACCACACAGCTGCAGAGGAAGGAAGAACCTGAAGTGAGAGCTTTTACATTTTTCTCCGCCTACACACAACTTACCACAGATGTTGTCAGACTTGGCCGTTCCAGCTTCCTTAATGTGGTAGTCGCTTTCACACCTGCAAATCAATCAATAAATCAATCAACATGTTGAGTCAGAATCAAAAGATTCAAATTCAGGGAGTTCTGAATTTTCCTCTGAAATGTCCAAAACAAAAAAAAAGGAAGAAAAAAAAAGCAGCCCTTTTGCTTACGTCAAATATCAGATTCCAAGTTTAATAAAAGGAAAATGTTGGTTTGTAAAAAAATTACAATACAATAAAAGAAGACAAATGTACTTTTAGTTAGATTTTTGGCTTATTTGGACCTCAAAAAGAGTTTCAAGATTCTGAAAAAGTTTTCTCCAAGCCTCTCTGGAGGTTTAAGAAAACAACTCTTTCAAAAATATGTAATTATTTTTTGTATTGAAAATGGTGATCAAGCGCATGAGCTGCCCTGTCATTTGTAAATCTTCCATTATTGTTTGATTTAGTTGAAATCTGTTATTACAAAGCGAGTCAGATGTCCCCACGAGTTATTCTTTAACTTTTTCTTCCACAAAAACCTTCAGAGGGCAACTCTAGCATACATGAATTCCTTTTGATCAGTCATTAACAAGCTCCTGTGAGGAGGTTTTAGCTGGTTATGAATGATGAGATTATTTGGCACAAAACACGACACACATTACAGTCCAAGATCATCAGTAACGAGAGGAAAAGGTACTGCTGTGTCCACAGGGGGCGCCAAC